GAGGAGTATGTCAGGCTTTGGGTGATGGGCACCTATGGCCTTGCCCCAGTGCAGCCATTACTGCGCCAGACCCTCTGGGCTCTGCAGACTGGGGTTCTGTCTCTGGCAACTATTTGGGCAGTTCTCCCTTGCAACTCAAAGGTCTGTGCAGGTCATGGGGTCTCCCATAGCTAGGATCCTAGAGGATCGCTGCAAGAGTGGGCTGCTCCATGCCTGTTGCACTCACCGTTTCCCTAAGAGCTGCTCGAGGCCAGGAACAAGTCCTCTGGTTTCTTCTTTTGTGTTGTTGTGAATTTTAAACATATTTACTTGATAATATTGTTTAGATTATTGTATTAGAATTCTCCCACGTGTTAGGGCTATTGAATCTTCCTTATGTTGTTTATTTTAGCAGATACTGTTAGTTTTGATTTTCAGGTCTTCTTTGGCAGGGTGGCTTTTTCTCGTGATCTCGTATTCTCTAGATTGTGGTTATACGTTTGTTTCTGCATTGCCTTTAGAGATTTGACAGTTAATGGTGACATAGCTTGGAAGGGTAATGAAGGTGTATTTTCATTTGTATATGCTGAAATAATAAAAAGAATCAGAGGAGGAAAGATTGAAGATAGTGGGTAGCAAGTAGCTAATTAAAGGAAGCTAGTGCCTCTGAGAGTTGAAGGCGGTGGGACCTTGAACATGATGGCTAATTGGGGTTAGGTGGGCTTAGATATTACAGGAAGTTGCAGGAGCCTCCTCCTATTGAGTCTATTTTCTTTGAGATTGAAAGTGAGATGTTCATTGTGTGAAATGGCTAATATGAGTAGATACTTGGTAATATCAAATAGTAGCATTTTGGGGCTGCATACAGAACTTAGTTGATTGTGTCTGTAATCTTAGCAGGGAGACTATTCTACTTTGCATGCTTATCTTTGGCTAGCTGGCATGGTTTTTGGGAACGTGAACATTGGGATCGATCAAGGGTTGGGATATTTCCTTGCTATTGTGAAGAAGGGAACGCCTGTGGTGCAAGTGAGCTGAGTAGTTGAAATGACAGACTGTAGAACCAAAGGCCATAAAGACTACAGGGAAGAAAGTAGAAGGGTTTATGGACTGGAGGTCAAAGAAGGACTATCTTTCAAGTTGAGTAAGAAGATTAGAAACCTACATTTATGATTTTAGTGGTAGAACAAGTGAAAAGAGAAGTGTTCCTCAGTTATAGGGCAGGTGAGTATCATTGAGATAAATAGGTCAAGAAACTAAGATACCTGTATTTGGGATAGTTATTATACCCTGAAATTTAAAATGGTGGAATACGATTTGATGTCTTTCTTGAGGCAGATTTTAAGTAATTATTGGAAATAAAAATTTGGCAGATAGGAAAAGATTTGGTGTAAATTGAATTATTGATGTATATGATCATTTTGGTATATGATGAATTTCAAGTAGGAATTATCTGGATGTTAATTTTTTAGAGGAGTTCTAAAAAATTAACATCCAGATAATGTTTCCTGTCATAGAATGATAGGAAAAAAGGAATGTCAGAAATAAATATGTATGTGTCAGTCCCAAATTTGTTTTTTAAAAAATACACTGAATTTGTTAGTAATGTAGAAAATTCTAAATTTTAATATACTACAGTTTTTATAACCAAGTCTCATGCATTTTGTTGCAAAAATTTAAACTGAGAATATTTTTTGTTAGAACTCACTTTATTATCCTAGTTGTAAAAGGGGAGAAAATAGAATGTGAACTTTCATTTAATGTTTTATTTTCTTGTTAACTATTTGGAAATTTATATTAGTTGACAGTGTTCTTGCAAAATATAATTGTGATTTTTCTTTTTCACAAAAAATAGTCATCTGTATAGTGCAATTTCAAAAAATTGATTTTTTAAAAATCAATTTGTGGTTTTAAAAAATTGATACGTATTTATTATCAGGGAGTTATAGTAATCCAAGTCAAAAGCTCCAAATGATGAGATTTCTTGTAGTTAGCCCCTGTGTCATAAAGATATAGTATCTTGGTTTGGATATAAGGATTTGGAAAGGCATTTCACTTTAATTGGCTATGTCTGTCATGTGATATTATTCCAGTGTCTTCTGGTAAATCTCCAAGGCTTTGTTGCAGCTTTACCTAACCTAAATGTAGGAGCATGCTAGTAATTTGTAGGTTACTTTTCCTGAAGAGGCAAGTTAGCTTTTTATTGTAAGACTTAACTTTGAGGATGGTACGGTGAGGAGTTAAAATAACTTTTAAATTTAGGGATGATTAAATGACCACCACTTCCATGTTACCTACATCTGATATTCATTTAGCAATATTTACTGGACACTTTATGCTAGACTGTAGTGATATAAAGTACAGAAAAGAGCCTTATCAGAGAGCTTACCTTCCGATAGGGGAGAGAAAGAGAAGTATGTAATAATTTAAAAATATTCTTTAAATACATAAAAAGTATGTATGTACGTTTGTGTGTATATATGTATATATAGTTTTCTTTATAACACTGTATATATAGAATATGTATATATAGTTTTCTTTACAACACTGCATATACATTCTATGTATATAGTGTTTTAAAGAAAATAGTGTTGTAAATAAAATGAAAGGATAAAAGAATAGAGAATGACTAGTAATGTGGACTAAATTTATGTAGGCTGGCTAGGGAGGGAGGGAGAATTTCCAGCTAGAGGAAACAACAGGTGAAAAGCCTCCGCTTTTCAGGTGATAATGTACTTTGCGTGGTTCACGAACACAGAGAAGAGCGGTATAATGAGATAACAGAAAAATGGTACCAGATTGGGTCTGAAAAGTAGGCAGGGTGTCAAACATTATAAAGCTGTGAATTGTATTCTAAGTACAGTGAGATGCAACTTGATCTGTTGATCTTTCTGAAAAGATCACTCTCGCATTGTGGGGAGTGGATTGTAGGTGGTCAGGATGGAAGCAAGAAGACCCGTTCCACTGTAGTAGCCCTGATGAGGTGTGGTGGTGTAGTGGAGATGAAGAGAAGGAAATGAATTTAGGATGCATTGTGGACATGGAGCTAATTGGTCTTGCTGATAATGGGAGTAGGAGATAGAGAGTGATCAAGGATGAATTTTAAGGTTTTGGATTTAGCAGTTGGATTGATGTCCCAAATACGGGATTGTGGATTGGGTAGAATTCTGTTTTGAACCTAAGTTTGACATGCCTTTTTATATCAAATGCAGGTGTTAAGTAGACTGTTAAATATAATAATGCTAATGCTAATAATTTCAATAATAATGATAGCAGCTAACATTTATGGAGCATTTGCTCTATGTATCAAGTACTTTTATAAGTATATTATCTCACTGAATCCTCCTAACAGCTCTGTGAGCTCGGTACTACCTCTTTCTGAAAATGGAGATACTTTGAATTTGTCCATGGTCGTTCAACTAAAAGTGGTAAAACTGGACTTTGAACCCTGATAGGCTCACTCCAAAGCCCACATTCTTAAGCATTGCACCACACTACCTTTGGCATGTGGAGCCCAGATTAGGTATAAAATTTTCAGTCATCCAGCGTAGAGACGATATTAAAGCCACAAGCCTTGATAGGATCAACTACTGAGAGACTAGGGAAGAGAAGGCCGTCTAGGATCTAACCAGTTAGAAGTTGGGAACAGAGGGAGCCAGGAGTGGAGACAGAGGTGAGAAGGAAGAGTCAGATGAGAACAGAGATGAACACGTTGGATTTGGCATCACTGAGGTCATTGGTGTCCTCAACAAGAAGCTCCAGTGGAATGGTAGGAACCTAAGTCCTGCTGATGTGCATTGAAGAGGACCTGACAAATGAGGAAGTACTGACTGAGGACAGCGAACTCTTGTAAGGACTTGTGGTGGGAAGGAGAGCTGAAAAATGAATTGTTATCAAGAGGGGGAAGCCAGGGCCAGAGACACATTACAATGTGTCATACGGTGATTTGAATAATCATGTGAAGAAAAATAAAGGCGCTGGAGAAAAATAAGACAATTTTAGGGAGTAAATCTTGATTTCAGAAAGGGATAGTCACAGTTTAGATGGTAGGTAAGTATCTTAAGGAAGTAACTGACAGCTGTTGCTAAACTTTAGGGCTGAGGCTTTAGATCTTTGAAAAGCTTGTGATACGAAGTCGCTGTCTGTGGCATGAAGTTAATAGTTGAAAGAAAAATAATGTATGCAGATGCGTATATGAGTGTATGTATGTAACTTTTTGGCCTTTGAATTGTTGGTAATAGGAAGTAGAAATTTGCAGAATGAATAAAAGTAGTATTCATGTAACTCGTTATTGTATATTTACCTTCTATATTGTATTTAAATTCTATTAATATTTCAAGTAGCTTTTTTTCCCCTCTCACCTTAAATAGCTGCTAACAAAATATTATTCTCCATCACATATTGAGAAAAAAATTTCTGATAGTTACTCTAAGTGATGCTTCCAAGTAATTGTATTTTAGGTACATAGCTGTATTGATGATAACTTTATATAATCATATATATATCACATATACAGAATACAAATATATAGTATATAAATTATATATGAAATGTATATTATCTATAAAATGTATAAAATATATATTCTATATATAGAATATAAATATATATAGTATATAAAGTTATGTCTCTCATAACTTGAAGTCCCTGAAGTCCTTTCATGTTGAATTTTTCTTTCCCAACCTTTGTAAGTAAAATGCAAATACCTTAGGATAAGTTTCTTATTGTGTTTATGTCCTTTGTGTCTATTATGATGAATAACTTTAAGAGATTATAGTTGTCTCAGCCGTTTGTTTACTTCATTTATCATGATTATGCTTGTTGGCAGAAGGTAACATGATATGTATCTCATACAAACTAAGAAACTGTTAGGAGAATCTTTTTCATTCTCTATTGTTAAAAAAAAAGTTTCAATGAAGTAAAAACGAAAATAGAAATTGGATTGTAAACAGAAGAAAGATGGATCTTTTGGAAAAATCAGTGTTGCTAATTTAAAAATACTTTTAAATATTATTTTACAGGAATGTTTAGGTGTCCATAATGTCACTAAATCTGTGTCTTCACTTTGCAATGGAATTCATTTTCTACTTCATCCAAAAGTTCTGTATGAAATCTCTGTATTTGGCATTCAAGACCCCAAAAGTGAGGTATGACGTTAAAAATAAGTGAAAATACTCCTGTAATTTAGATACTCAGCTAAATCAAGGTGATATGCTAATACAGTTTAGATAGCATGGTGAGAAACTGAAAAGAAACCTGTCTTTGGTACATTGGTTCACTCGAAGTGTTATTTAAATAAAAATAAATGTTACATAAAATGTGGCAATAAAAATACAGGACACACATGATTTCAAAAAATTCAGATCAGTTTACTTACATTTTTCATCTAAGATGTAGAGAACTATGCAGTACAGGTAGTAAGCAGATTATTTCAGTTAGGGAAATTTTTACTCAAGGGACAAATGTACATTAAGGTAAGAAAGTAGAAATCATTAAGGAAGAAAAACAGAACAGAATGTAAGATGATGCTATGGAAATAAGAACTTTTGAAAGAGATGTTAATTATAGCATCTTTCCAGATGTTATAAAATGTTACAGGTGTGTCAGGTGACCTAGTGGGACATCTCATTTGACTGGTTTGTCGCGTCTGTGTTGTTGAGCAGGTGAACACTGCTGCCAAGGCCATTCTGTTATACCTGCTTCAGGGACGATTGATGATGACAGCCCTGACCTGGAACAAGTTTATTGAGTCTCTGTGTCCTGTCATTCCAATACTACAGGTATTCTGTGAAATTCACTTTTTATGATACCATTTATCTTTGGCTGGGTGTCATTGATTTAAACACATGCAAACAGCAAAACTGTCATGTTGTGAGAGAAATGAAGAGAAGCTGTGAAGGCGCTGGGGATAAGTGAACAGCAAGTGGGTGGCTGTCTTGTTTCTGGCAGAAAGTTAAACAAGGATAGCCAATTTGTCTGTATATATTTTATATATCTGGGTGGGAGGTTAAAAAGTGAGGTGCATTCACAGCATTGACTGTGAAAAATAGAACTCAACCTTATATAAAGGCCTTTAGGCAGAGCTAACAGTGCTTTTTAAGCAGACCTTACATAACAACTAACTTGCCTCATGAATTCTATCCATGCATATATATGATTAGATTGATACCTTAATTAACATGCTCCTGGAAACAGCTTTTTTTTTTTTTTTTTTTAAAGCAATCCTTCTGGACGTTAAAGGAGTCAGGTTTCTGTCTCTTTTGGATGAAAAGGTGGAGTTCAGAGGTGCCATCGTAAGCACAGTCCTCTTTTAGAAGAGAGAGCCTGGACCTTGTGCCTTGAGACTCACAGGGTCCTATTCCATGCGTGTAGCCTTTAGAGCACTCCGTCTTCTTAGGGTGGGGATGGGCTGAGGATCTGCGAGGTGCTTCACTGAGGAGAGGTGCTGCTGTTAGAATCTTAGAAAATAGAAAGATCAGCAAGTGTCAAGAAGGTTGGCATGTTTTCCTGAAGTTCTCCTGTATGTATGTGTATTTTCTTTTAAATACAGTTTTATTTAGGCTCCTTAGCTCATAGAGGTTATTTTAAAAAATAACTATTCAACTGAATCGACAGACATTTATGAGTTGCTGATAGGACAATACAATTCTTATTTTCAAGTTGAAAAGTTATGTATATAATTAGACAATAACTTCTCTTTAAAAACTAATATATTAGGGCTATGCCGACACAGAAGATCCTTTGGGTAACTGCATTCTCCTTCTAAGCAAAGCAAGTTCTGACACAGAAGAGATTCTTCCGTGTACTACCCGATTAAAGTCCATGCTGCGACTTTTGCTAGTGAAAAAGCCATCGTGAGTACAACATAATCTTGTGAACATCAAAGATTAATGGAAACATGCTAAGAAAGTATAGTAACTATATATAATTTGAAACAAAACTAAATAATTTTTAAGGAGGGTGGTACTCCATTACTAGAGGAAACTAAGCAGATACAAGGTCTTTTTTGTACTTGCTGACTTTCATCCATTTTACAGCCAAGTTATTCCTTGCCAGATCAGCCTATGTTATAGGACTGCTACTAAGTGCTGCTCAGTAGTGCCCTAGGCAAGTTGGAGAGCCATGGAGATAAATAGATGGTAAAAATTATAGTGCTTTCCCATCTTCTCTTTAGAAATTGTTAGTCTCCCAGAGTGATCCTTTTGTAAAAATCTGTTCTGAATATTAAGTTTTTTGTAAGTGTAGTAGGCCAGTTGTCTCATATACCAGAGTTATGTAGATATTTTAATCCCATGTAGCTGTGTTCTTACTTGGGAAACTGAAAATGAATCCTTTCTTTGACCGCCATTAATGTAAGCATTGTTTTAGTTAATGAAAAGAAGGAGAATGATACTGTTTTTTTTTCCGTCTCTGTCATTGCAACATGAATCTTTTCTATTATTATTTTTGGTAACAGTGGTTAGATTTTCCCTTACTGAAAAAAGAAAAAAATGCTTAGAGTCAAGATGGATAAGCAGGGCTAAAGAGGAATAGTTGGTTGAAAAGGCTAGGAAGAATGGACAGACATTCTTCTGACAGTGGATAATTTGTGTTTCCCAAAGCTTACATCAGGAAAATACAGCAGCTTATTTATAGAGAGATCATTGGACTGAAAAATAAGGAAGTAGGTGGAAGTTAACTAAACCATTAAGAGAATAGAAGAAGGAAAATTATGGAGTCCTTAAAATATCTCTGCAGTATAGAGGGTAGTGTTATGGGTGATACAGGAAGAAGTAGGGCAGAGGGAGTTAATGTGCTTGTGTTCTCGGGGTTGTCTTCTACACGTGCAGAAAGGCTCTTCCCTGTTAATTAACGTGCTAGTGTGGTACTCTTGACTTGAACAAACCCCCAATTTGGAGAATTAACACAATAGGGGTCATTTCTTGTTTGCTTTTCAAGGAGCTCAAGGTCCTCAGGTTAATAAAGACATTCTAAGGTAGGACATCCCCAGGAGTGTAGTGCAAGGCAAGGCCAGATCTTTCTTTGGGTAAGATAATTCTCTATTATACAGAACTTAAAACAATTCAAATGACATATTTGTTTTCCTTATTGTATTAATTCTGCCCCATCCCACCAACCCATCCATAAACTCCATGAAGACAGGAACCCTGTCCACTGGCTAATCTTGTATTCTTAGAACTTCATAGAGTACCTTATACATAAATACACAGTCATGCGTTGCTTAATGACATGGATGCATCCCGAGAAATGCTTTGTTAGGTGATTTTGTCCTTGTGTGAACATCATAGAACGTACCGTACACAAAACTAAGTAATAATAACTTACTACATACATACCTAAGCTATATCATATAGCCTATTGCTTCTAGGCTGCAAACCTGTACAGCATGTTACTGTACTGAACACCGTAGGCAGTTGTAACACAGTGGCATTTGTGTATCTAAACATAGAAAATGTTTAGAAAAATATAGTAATATAATCCTGTGAGACCGCTGTTGTATATGTGATCCACTGTTGACTGTAACATTGTTATGCAGTGCATGACTGTACTCAAAAGTATTAAAGAATTATATACATATATAGGAATAACTGAATTCTGGCATCCTGTGCTAAACCTAAAAAGATGCTAAATGTATATACCAGAGAACAAGATGCATAAATACATGCTTTACATACCTCATCTCTAGCCACATTTACTAGGGGTGATACCTGTCTCTCAACTGACAACCCCAGATGTGAATATCATTGACTTAGAATGTAAGGAACAAAGGAAAACTATTAGGTAGGTGTTTAGCCTTTCTAAGCTCTCTTGAGGTAACTCAGGAAATGGAGAGGGAGAAAGTTTGCCTGACTTACTAGTCCTCTGGAGATGATATCAGTTAACAATATTGCAGTAAATATCTACTTTGTGTTAGATTCAGGAAGTATTTATTGGGTGGCTTACTGTGTATCTATGAGCTGTGGAAAGGTAGCAGCACACCACACAGACATGGGCCCTGCCCTTTCAGCATTTAGCGTGTAACTGGGAATATAGCTCTTATTAGCAATTATTCTTTATTATTAGTTGTCATAAAGTGAGATAAAAGTTATGATGCAGGGGCTCAGGGTGGCAGGCCTACATCCAGAAGGCAGCCTGCTCTCGTCTGGAGTCGGAGGGCCACTCTAATGATGCATGTTTTAATTGTTGTCTTATAGGTAGTTCTTAAAACCTGGCAACTTGTATTATTGCTTAAAATTTGTCCAGTTTCTAGGTAGTTCAAGAACCTGTCAGAGGAGTGACGGATACATGGTTGTCTCAATATCTGCCGCCTCAGTGACCTTTGTCCACTCGGTGGTTTTTCTGTTTCTCTATTTCATTGTTCAGTGGCATACAGTATTTAAACTTTTCTTGAAAAGTCTCCCACTTCGCCACTCAGCTGAACTTATTCCTAATCCCTTCCAGATAAGGAAAAGGTGTTTGTATTTTCATTTTTGACAGGAATCTGTTTGACCCCTGATGTAAGAAGATTTTGATACATTGTAGTGTTATCACACTTCCGTTATGAGCGTCATTACTCTCCTGAGGGTTCATCTTAACGTTTGGACTCTGGTCGGCAGTCTGTGATACTTTTTATGGTTGAGAATAGATCACTAGATTTGAAGACAGGAGTTATAGATTTAATTCCCAGATGTACTTATTGAAGTTTACTCAATAAGTGAGTCTGTCTCATTTGTAGTTATTATTTTTTGTTTCTGATGTTTATTTTATAACTTGAATAAATCATTATAGTTATATATGCAAGATTTTTTAGAAGTAAATTATTACTAGTAATGGCAGTATAATTGTGACTACTTATTGTACTTTGTTGATATATAATTACTTGTAATTATAAGCCCTTTTACGATAGACATTTGTGTATCACGAAAGTTCGACTTCAGTACTTTGTGTTCTTAGGGTCCGCTCACAAGCGTTAAAGCTTTTAGCGTTGCATCTTACCAGTGAAGAAGGGGCTGACACAAAGCGTCCTCTGATAGACGCCAGAGTTCTCTCCAGAGTTACGAATTTATTCATTGTGAAGAAACCTATTGAACTCAAACTGGATGACAGAAGAGAGCTGGTTATTAAGGTGACTATAAATTTTGAGTTTATTACTGGGTGGTAATTTGATACATTTTTATATCTTGTATTTTATGTGACATTCTTCAGTTTGTGTATGTCCTGGGGAGGGAGAGAAGTGTGGGGATTCAGGGCTGATTGGAAATTGTGTTCTGGCTGTATCTGGCTTCTGGATATGTTGATTCATTGCAGTGGTCCCAACCTTTTTGGCAGTAGGGACCAGTTTCACAGGACAATCTTTCCATGGATCGGGGCAGGAGTGTTGTTTTGGGATGATTCAAATGCATTATATTTATTGTGTACTTTATTTCTATTATTGTTACATTGTAATATGCAATGAAATAATTGTATAGCTCACCATAATGTAGAATCAGTGGGAGCTCTGAACTTATTTTCCTGCAACTAGACAGTCCCATGTGGGGGTGATGGGAGACAGTGACAGATCATCAGACGTTAGTTAGATTCTCGTAAGGAGCAGACAACCGAGATCCCTCACACACCTAGTTCACAATACGGTTTGCACTCCTATGAGAATCGAATGCCGCCACTGATCTGACAGGAGGTGGAGCTCAGGTGGGAAGGGGAACGATGGGCAGAGGCTGTAAATACATTTCCCTGTCTTTAGCTAGGACTGTACCTATAGCATGCTGGACTGATGCAGAATTCTATAAAGAAAGCTGTCCACTAGTACACTGTTTTCATGGATTCATTCCTGTGTTTTGTACTTTCTCATTTCACTTCAAGTTTGCAATCTGTCTGTTTTATTTTAGACTAACTCGCCAAGGCCTGTGGTAGTATGGTAGAGCCACTTGTAATACAGTAGGTTTGTTTGTTTGTTTGCTTTTTAATGGAGAAACACATTATGTTCCTCTAAACTGAATGTTCAGGGCTGTATGACAGTGCTGGCGGGAGGATTGGAGAGTCTTCCACTGGCCACATACCAGGTCTGATTGGGACTTCCCTGAGTACCAAGCCATTGGTAGTCACTCCTGTGTCCTGATGTGTGGAGAAAGGCGGGGAGGGGCCTTTCTAACGCGTCTTCTGTGAATCCATGTTCGGACTGGAAGACAGCAGTGAGTGGGGAAAAGGAGCTTCATCTTTGTTACTTTCTTGTCCCTTTTTCCTGATGCTGGTTTTGCCACCTCAGACTCTGTTCTAGCATGAAGTGACAGTAAGGGACTTGTCTGGGGTAGCTTTGAAGGGGTGCTGGACAGCAAATCCCAGAGTGCTCTTCGCTCTGGGGTCTTCTAAGAGAAAGAATGGAGAGGTCCATGGGAATACCAGCTGGTGGCTTCTGGGAGCAACAGAGAAATCTTGAGTCACAGGTCTGGGTCGCTTTTCTCAGGTTAGCCTGGTACTACCTATAAAGATGTTAGGGAACATGGATGTTTTCTGTTACCTTTATAAGGTTGCTAATGGATTATTGGGTTATGAATAACTTCCTAGCAAAAATGTATGTTAAGAAGAGAGGGGCCGGGCACAGTGGCTCATGCCTGTAATCCCAGCACCACGGGAGGCTGAGATGGGTGGACCACTTGAGCCCAGCCTAGGTGATATGGTGAAACCCTGTCTCTACTAAAAATACAAAAAAATTAGCTGGGTTTGGTGGTCCATGCCTGTAGTCCCAGCAACTTGGGAGGCTGAGGTAGGAGAATCACTTGAGCCCAGGAAGTCGAGGCTGCAGTTAGCTCAGATTGCACCACTTCACTCCAGCCTGGGTGACCAGAGTGAGACCCTGTCTCCAAAAAAAAAAAAAAACTTGTTTAACATGATAACTCTTTATTTTACATCTTAAGTTCCTTCCTGACCTACTGCATCATTGTTGCAAATTTTATTTATTTATGTATTTATTTTAAACTTTTATTTCAGGTTCGGGGTACATGTGCAGTTTTGTTATATAGGTAAACTCGTGTCATGGGGTTTGTTGTACAGATTATTTCATCACCCTGGTACTAAGCCTAGTACCCAATAGTTATTTTTCAGATCCTCTCCCACCTCCTACCCGCCATCCTCAGGTAGGCCCCAGTCTCCGTTGTTCCCCTCTTTGTGTCCTTGTGTTTTCATTATTTAGTTCCCGCATATAAATGAGAACATGCAGTATTTGGTTTTATGTTCTTGTGTTTTTTTGCTAAGGATAGTGGCCTCCGGCTTCATCCATGTTCCCTCAAAAGACATGATCTCCTTCTTTTTTAAGGTTGCATAGTACTCTATGGTTTATATGTACCACATTTTCTTTATCCAATCTGCCATTGATGGGCATGTAGGTTAATTCTGTGTGTTTGCTATTGTGAATAGTGCTGCAGTGAACATACACATGCATGCGTCTTTATGGTAGAATGATTTGTATTTCTTTGGGTATCCAACATCCATAAGGAACTTAAACAAATTTACAAGAAAAAAGCAAACAATTCCATTAAAAAGTGGATAAAGGACAGAACAGACATTTTTCAGAAGAAGACATACCTGTGGCCAAAAGGCATATGGAAAAGAGCTCAATATCACTGATCATTAGAGAAATGCAAGTCAAAGCTGCTATGACGGACCATCTCACACCAGTCAGAATGGCTATTTTTTTTTTTTTTTTTTTTTTTTTGTGAGACGGAGTTTCGCTCTTGTTGCCCAGGCTGGAGTGCAGTGGTGCGATCTTGGATCACTGCCACCTCCGCCTCCTGGGTTCAAACGATTCTCCTGTCTCAGCCTCCCGAGTAGCTGGGATTACAGGTGTGTACCACCATGCCCAGCTAATTTTTGTATTTTTAGTAGAGACGGAGTTTCACCGTGTTGGCCTTTTGTATTTTTAGTGGAGATGGGGTTTCACCATGTTAGCCAAGCTTGTCTCGAACTCCTGACCTCAGATGATCTGCCCACCTCAGTTTCCCAGAGTGCTGGGATTGTAGACATGAGTCATCGCGCCCGGCCAGAATGGCTATTATTAAAAGTAAAAAAATAGCAGATACTGGTGAGGTTATGGAGAAAAGGGAATACTTACACACTGTTGATGAGAGTGTAAATTAGTTCAACCATTGTGAAAAGCAGTGTGGCAATTCCTCGAAGATCTGAATACAGAACTAATTACTCAACCCAGCATTGTGTGAATTTACATGTAAATACATTGGTTATTTAAATAAGTTGATTTTTTGAGCTTTTGTTCATAGGGCACAAACTGTAAAATCTTATTGGAGAATTGGAAGCAGAAAAATGTAATTTTGGGTTTTTTTTTTTTTTGGTTTGTAGTCGGAGACTGTTGAAAAGGTGTATGAAATCTTCACCTCAGATGATGTTGATCTTGTTTTGAGAAAGTCAGCTGCCGAACAGTTGGCTGTGATTATGCAAGGTAATGCATCCTAAGGAAAATGATTGCTGTACTGCTGATAATAGAATTTTAGATTGCTGTGTGGTACTGGCAGGAGTTGGCAACTATGGTTTATGGGCCAGACCCAGCCTGTGGCCTTTTTTTTTTTTGACAGCCCTCAAGAATGGTTTTTGCATCTTTAGAGTTGTTAACAAAACCAAACCAAAACCAGAGAATGTGCAAGAGACCATATGTGTCTGTCTAACAAAACCTAACAACATGCTTACTACCTGGTTCTTTACAGAAAAAGTTTGCTAACCCCTTATTATTTGACCTGTAAAATGCCATTCGATAGAATTATCTTCTTTCTAAAATATTAGTATATTTCCAATAGTGAAGTGCATGTTCCTTCCTCAGTTTACTGAGTGCATGCATCGTATTTTTGATTTGTACCATCTTGCTTAGGGAATTTAATTAAATAATACTTTTGTGGTAGGTAAAATAAAAATAATACACTGTAGCTATGCCTTTTCTTTAAACGTTTTTTTTTTATTTTTTAAATTATACTTTAAGTTCTAGGGTACATGTGCACAATGTGCAGGTTTGATACATTGGTATACATGTGCCATGTTGGTTTGCTGCACTCATCAACTCATCATTTACATTAGGTTTTTCTCCTAATGCTATCTCTCCCCCAGTCCCCATCCCTGAGACAGGCCCGGGAGTGTGATGTTCCCCGCCCTGTGTCCAAGTGATTTCATTGTTCAGTTCCCACCTATGAGTGAGAACATGTGGTGTTTGGTTTTCTGTCTTCGTGATAGTTTGCTGAGAATGATGGTTTCCAGCTTCATCCATGTGCCTGCAAAGGACACGAACTCATCCTTTTTTATGACTACATAGTATTCCACAGTGTATAAACGTTTATTTTTAAAAACAACTAGTGTAATACACTGTTAGCTTTGTTTGTAGTGTTGTTATTCCATAGGTTTTTCTTCTTTGGGTTAGTTTTGAATTTTTCCCCATATGTGATGTATGTACTTTAATATTTATGAGAAATGAAAACTTTGAGTTTACATAAAAAGATGCTTATGGTTAGCACTTCTTGTCTTGACATTAGTGGAAACTGGGATGAGAGAGTAATTTGAAAAAACATATTCCATGTATTTGTAGTTTTAACAACAATAACACAGACTACAGAAAATAAGACTAGAAAATGAGGAAAGCCCTGGTTTAAAAAAAAAAAAAAAAGAAAGACTCATTAAAGAGAATTCCTTCAATATTGTTAACATTTCAAAAGTATGCTTTATAATTTTGGTATGCACTATATTGGGGGGCAAGTAACAGCTAAAGATCATTACAGTGATAGCTACCCCTTCAATATCCGTGTGTGTGTGTGTTTTTCCTAATGAGAATATAGGAGAAAATTTGTCTGCAAGTTGTTTAATAATTGTAACGAATATATAAGCAATTATAGTTTTGGGTTCTTGTAACATTTGTGTGTGTGGATGTGCATATCTATACATAAAATTTTTTCTTGTGTATACAAAAACTTTTTTATTACAAACATGATATGTGAATATATGCTTATTAAAAAGAAGCTCATGTTCTCCAGAAATATGTAGTGTATTATAATCTTGTTCCTTTTATACTTGCTATTAATAGTTTGAAGTTAGAGATTTTTTATTGATAGAAAAATGTTCATGTTGTAAGTCATATTTTTCACATGAGCTTGTGGAGAATTATAAACATTTGAAGGTGATAAATTTGGAAGAGTCAATGAAATAATATAAAGAAGAAAATTTGCCATGTATAAATATAAGCATTCATTTATGCACTTAAAATTCTCGTAGTTTTCAGAGTCTGAACTAGTTCCATAATTCTTTTTTTATAGTTTTGTTTTTTATGTTACAGAAGTAAGATATGCTTTTTACTTAAACGTTTTCAAATTGGACAAGTGTATATAAAGTAAAAAGTTAAAAGTTTTGTACTCCAATGTTAACCCCAGGTCTAAGTGTTTAAGGTTGTGTGGATATCAGTTCTGAGTATTTCAAAATATGTTTTTTAAACTACAAAAAAAGTTCTTTAACTTTTAGTAACTTTTTTTTTATCTACAGATATTAAAATGCATGCTGTGGTGAAAAAGTTATGCTTAATTGACAAAATAATTGAGTATTTAAATGAATGTGTGAGTCAAGATGGCAAGGTAAGGCTAATGTGCATCTAGACATTGTTTTACAGGCTGTTTTTATTAATCAGATCTGAAATTGAACTGAGCAGAGTTTGGATGAGTACTTGGATTTTAAATCCTAAGTAACACCTCCTATCTCATTCATTTTTTTAAATTCTAAAAGTGGAGTCTCTATAAAGGAAAACTAATTTTAAAATTTGCATAAGATGGGCAAGCAGAAGTATATACAAAACTTACTTTCAGTGGAAAGTAATTCCTAGTATTTCTTTACGTTTCAGTTTCAGGTGATTTGATGAAAAAGCATAAAATTTAGAGTAAGATAATATTATGGTATGTTTGATCTCACCTGATGATTGGTGAAAATAAAATAGCTGTGTTTTTCCTCCTGGCCCAGGTTGTAGAATGTTTGGTACAACCATGCCTCACACTCTTGAGGAAGGTTTTATGTGGCGATCCAGTCATGCGTGTTTCCCTCTCACAACAGCCTTCTCTTTTGACCCTGTTGTTCAGAGGTAAATAAAAGAAAATCTGCTAATAATTAGATTGTTCTTAAGTTTTAAGTGTTTCTTCTTTAATTGTAAGTCACATTTACTTTTTATTTTACTCTTAGAACATCAGCATTTATTACTGAACACACTACTAAAAACTAATCACAGTGGAAAATGTTTAATATTTCTGTGGAAATTGCTTTATAATCTTGTTACTGAGTGGAGCCTAGAGCTGAGAAAGGGTGAAACCTCTCATTGTTCTTTGTACCTTGATGTAGATATCATCTGGTGCTCAGACAGTAAACTATTACCTATAAACAGAGAAAGTTGCAGTTGCTGTTATTACTATCTTTTTTCCAATATCTCTTTCGTCTTTCTTGTTTTGCTTGTACCTTTGGATCTTGGTACATTTTGTCTGATTATTTCATTTGACAGGTGTTGAGGGTATAGACTCAACCTGTGTGGGCAGAAACTAGACCATCCTAAATGACTCTGAGCCTAAATTTATTACATTCTACAAAGTGTGGTTTTAAAAACCCATTTTAATTTGATTCTAATTTAGTAAGGTGTTAGATGAACACATTTCGTGTTGTTTTGTCCTGCCTGTCTTCTTTGTTTTTTTTTTCTCAATGGAGACTTTGGTAACATTTTGTACTATTTTCTTTCTTAGAGATTTAGGCCACTGCTTTTTAATATTCTACAGGAGTCATGTAGGCCGAGCATCTGAATGTGCTTCATCTTGTCTGTTATCAGGCATATAGGAGATAAGCGAGATTTATGTTCAAAATATGTTATTGCAATATAGTCCTTTTATTTTAGCATTTTTTCCTCCTGTTGGCTTCTGCTTGCCAAGTAAGATGCAGTTTATTGAAGTAGCAGCAGTAAAACCAGGTAAAGCTCTAAACGGATTCAGCGTGTTTAGGCTCATAACATTTTGAGTAGACTATAACGTTTTTATAGGATTGTTGTATAGACTGATCATCTGAAAGAGCAGCAGTTATAGATTTTTAGTTTTCTTTAATCCTGTTAATAATTGTCTTCTTATTAACTTCATTCATTTAAATGTAGTTCCTAGTTTACCTTTTCATTTATAATTTTCATTTAAATTATTCAAGCATGGAGCTTATTATGAACACCTACTGGATTCAAAAGCATGTTCCAAGGCAATATAATCTATACCCTTTTCAGTATTTCAGTTTTTCTATTTCATTGCTGTTTGTGGAAATTACTTTCAATGAGTCTGAGAATGAATATAGTATCCCCCATTAATGGATTTAGTTTCAGGAAAAATTTTACTTATTTATTTATTTATTGAGACAGAGTTTCACTCTTGTTGCCCAGGCTGGAGTGTAGTGGCACGATCTTGGCTCACTGCAACCTCTGCCTCCCGGGTTCAAGCATTTTTCCTGCCTCAGCCTCCCGAGTAGCTGGGATTACAGGTGCTTGCCACCATACCTGGGTAATTTTTGAATTTTTAGTAGAGGCTAGGTTTCTCCATGTTGGCCAGGCTGGTCTCAAACTCTTGACCTCATGTGATCCACCTACCTTTGCCTCCCAAAGTGCTGGAGTTACAGGCATGAGCCACCATGCCTGGCCGAAAAATGGATTTTTAACCAGCTGCTTAGGTAAATGACCCTCTTGGAGCTTACAGTAGAGTTGGAGACATTGACAAGTAAATATACAGTACACCACAATAATACTTATAGTTGGGGATTCCTGGTGCCAGAGGACGTGCTGGTCAGATTGGTTGGTGATAAGTATCAGAGATTGTTTCTAGGGAATGTGGCATCTAAGATGGAATTCCAGAAATGAGTAGGAGTTCAAGTAGGCAAGACTGACTTCTAGATAGAGGGAGCCATGGTTATGTGTATGAGAGACTGATGTGTTTGAGATGGAGCTGGCTGGATTTGGGGAATGTGGAGTGAGGGGGAAATGATGGAATGAGACAGGGAGGGCAGTTCGTGCAGGGCCTGGGAGGTCTTATTAAACAGCAGTGAGGAGCCGTTTAAGGTTGTTAAACAGGGGAGTGTGTGTTTTAGGAAGATTATTTCTGTAGCATGGATAGTGGATCAAAGGAGTAGAATAAATAACTTCTCAGATAACACTGCTTTGATTATAAACTTTATGTTATGACAGAATTCTATACTGTGTTTCAGGGTTAGAAATTAACTTAGAAATCATTTACTATACCATCTCAGTGTGAGGTCTAGAGAGATTTAGCAACTTGGCCAAGGTTATAACCAAAAAATGGTTATTGGGTTATTTACTTTGCTACTGAGAGAGAATCTAAACTTCCTTACCTTTGTTTGTTTTTGTTTTAAATAATCACAGACCTATACATACTCACTGTAAAAATTCAGGCAATATAGAACTATACAAATTCTAAAAGTTTACATTTTCTTCTCTTTCTCAATTTCCCCAAAGAAGACTGTTCTAGTTATGATTAGGAATGTATTATTCCGAATGATTTTTTCTATACACACATGTAGTTTTCATTATATATATTACAGTATTGTGTTGCTTCCTTTTTTCAACTGGAAATGTAACTTGAATATCCTTCCATGTTATTTTATGTGAGTATACATTCTTTAAAAAACCCTAAGAACAACTGCATTGGTGTTTCAGAATTTCAGTTTGCTGTGTTACTGGGTATTTGTTTTAGATTTTTCACCATGACAGTAATCATGTTGTGTGGTCATCTTTGTGCATTCTGTGTTGCAATTCCTACATCAAAGAGATTTTATAAGATAATGGTTAAGTTCCTTTCCAAATCACTCTCACCAAAGGTGTTTAAAAATGCTTATTTTCATTACAACTTTGCTAACACTGAATATGTCTCATTAAAAGTTTTTAATCTTACAGGTAAAAATATATAATTGTTTTATTTTCTTAGTTTTAGTGAAGTTATCTTTTCATATATTTTATATTCAAATTTCATAATCTATGGATTACCTATTTTTGTGTTGTATTTAATTTCTTTTTAGTCACTTGTAGGGTGTTTTAATTATAAGATAGACACAATCCTTATGCTTGATTTTACGTGATTAACATTTTCTTTCAACTTTTCTATCCTTTAAATTTATTTATTATTATATTTTTAACCTTAAACTTAAATATTTTATGGAAATACATAGAGCTTTTCTGTTATGGCAGTTGGGCAATTTTTCATCATGCTCTTCAAGTAGGACTTTCTCTAGTTTCAGATTGAAAACACTTTTCCTGTGTTTCAAGTGTTGTTTAAAAAAATTAAATTTTAAATCAGGCAAAGGCATTGCTGTAATTTCTTATTTATTTGGAAATATTATGGTTCATTCTCTTTATCACTGATGTGAAATGTCTATTTTATTATAAGTTAATTTTTACATGTTCTCTGTTTCTTTACTTTTTTTTTCCTATTTTTAATCATGTCAATTACATAAGGATGATTTTCTTTTCTAGCAGTTAGGAAAAATATCTTCTCTCAAAACTTATTTCTTATTGCTGCTTCCCTGAATTTGCTAACTGTGTATTATGTTGTTATTCCTGTGAGATAACATCATCCTTCTTTGTTTAGAATTTCATAGGTTTCAAGCATTGAGAAATTGTAGCATTGGGATCATTATAGAAGTGGGAACTTATACTTAATGATAAAGAATCGGACCAGGGCACTTAGCTAAGTAGTAAGTAGTAGAGCTAGTGTTAAGTCTATCCGTTCAGAGCCCTTCCCTTTTCCATCATCTTGTCATAATTAACAGGAACCAAAACAATGACACAGCCCAAGGATAACATATTAAAGTCAAATCCAAGTTCTATGATCACATGTTTGTAGTAAAGGGCAAAAGTTGTAAATTAAGATCTCTCGGTGAGGAAACTTTAGCTAAAATTACATGACTCGGCATAACCTTCTAGAGGCTGTATCAGTTCATTTCTCTACCTAAAACTAGACAGTGTCTAGTGAGTGTATCTACAAGTGTCACTCCTGGACTGGTAGCGTCTGCGTCCTCTGAGAACGTATTAGAAATTCATATTCACAGGCTCCACCCTAAACCTATCCAATCAGAAACTGTTTTTACAAGCTCTCCAGGTGATTCTTGTACATCCACAGGTTTGAGATGAAAGCCTGTGTTTTAGTGTCACCTTATCTGAGTTAATGTTGCATTTCTTTTCTCTTCAAATTAAGATATTTTAAATTCGAAGTTTGTTCTTTCTAGACATACAAATATTTCATAAAGTTGTGCTTCTTTTTATTTAGTTTCCTTAATATTTCATGAAGATTGTACTGTCGTGACTGAAGTTGGAGCACTATTTTGTCTTCTATTATTTGATGAAGTATCAAGAATGGATATGTGGTGAGATAAAATAATTTATAAGTTTTTTACTCTTAACTGTTTGTCTCAGGTATCTGATGCAATCTTACAGCAATGCGTGGAAATTTCTGGTTTATGAAGCTTATGCTGTCCATGCTACACCCATATGTGGTATGAATTTTGATTTGAATAAACAGTATTCAAAAGCCTATTGGCTCAGAAAGTCTATCTCAAATTTTATTTTTAAACATTACTAAGTATGAAATTTAAAATTACTGCAGTAATTTTTGTCTTTAATACATTTTTAGTACGTACCTTCAACTATGTGTTTTTTTCTTAATATTTCATTATTTTTTAAAAAACTCGGAAGATGTTTAGGACAATAGTATATGATTAGCACTGATCTTGAGCAGGATCCGTGGGCGGAGACACACAAAGTCCACCTGCCATTACCACCAATGCACTGAATCATTTGTTATGTGGAATTTTTTTTTAAAACATGATTTACTTTTCATAAGCACATCTAGGAAGTAGCAAACATGTTGTTACTATACTAAATGATAGACTCAATTGCAGCGCTTGCTTTCATTTGCAGTCAGTGAAGTGAGGTAAGTTGTATTTGTTAGACAAAACTTGGTCTACTCAGTTGCTTCTTTGTTTTTGTTTTTCTTTTACGAAACAGGTCTGTTAATCCTTCCAATAAACCTTCTTTGCCGTCAGTCTTCAGTTTGCCTGTTTCAGTTTTTAGAAGGTAAAGGATTTATTTCTCTGATTTTCTTGAAGGATGAAATGTTACAGAAAGGGAAATCAAAATCTACAATTTCTCACAATTTTCATTTAGCATTTAAATCTCATAACTTGGGCTTTCATGGTTCCTTCATGATGGTGCTTTGAAGATTTCAGTAAGTATATCTCCCCACCACCAATTTTTTATTTTGGTATCGTTCAAATTTACAGGAAAGTTGAAAGAACTATACAGTGCATACCTGTATGTCGTTCAGCCTAGAGTCATCAATTATTTACATATGAGTCTCTTTGCTTTCTCTCTCCTAATATGTATTTTTATTTATATTTAGTTCTCCCTCACCCTCCAATTGGAAATAAGTTTCAGACATAAATTCACTCCCTTCCTATATATTCCAGCATGCACATCCTTAGGTTAAGGACATTATTCTATATAACTGCTACAATATGATCACATCTAACAAGATTACAAATAATTCTGTAACATGATGTGGTTTCTCCAGTTATCTCCAAGTATCTTTTGTATATATTTTTTCATAATGCAATAACAAGTTAAGGTCCTACATTGTGCTTGGTTTTCATGTCTCCTTAGACTTTTTAAAAAAGTAAATTGTTTTTATTGACATATGTCATACATAAAGCATACAAGTCATAAGGGTACAGCCCTTGAATTTTTCCAAGTAAACGTACTTATTTATGTCACACAGAAATCTGACATAGAATATTACTAACAGACCAGAACCCCTTTTTGTGCTCTCATTACCTTCTACCACCCCAAAATGTAATCCTATTTTAATTTCTATTGCCATACATTATTTTTGCTGGTTTTTGAACTTTATAAATAGAGTGCATTATTATGTTGGCTTTTTGCTCAACTTGGAGAGATTTGTCCATATTGTTGCATGAAGCAATAGTCGGTTCATTTTCACTGCTATGTGGTATTCTGTCTAAGAATATACAACACTTTTATTTACCATTCTATTTGTAGACGTTTGATTTGTTTTCTGTTTTGGACTATTATGAATAAATGACTGCTAAGAACATTCTTGAACATGTGTCATTGTTGGAATATAGGATATTTATGTTTAGCTTTAGTAGATGCTATCAAACAGTATTACAAAGCGGTTATGCTGATTTACATTCCCACCAGCAGTGGAAAAGTACTAGGTGCCCCACATCCTCACCAGCCTTTGGTATTTGCATTACCAGTCTTAATTGTGTGTAGATTTGGCTAAATAATAAAACTTACATGACTGCAGTAGTCGTGCTTAGAATGAGATCACATTTGTGGGTGCTGGGAGCTGTCTTGGCTTAGAAGCCTCATGTCCCAAATAGAAAATACATTCTCTAGTGAGCGTGCTGTAGGCATAGTTTCCAGGTTGCTTGTAAGAGCCACAGCACTCAAGATTGCTCAGAGCTGTGCCGTCCCATCATGCGTTTGTAGTTTATTCCTAGATGTCTCAGTCCAGATGTGGGGAGTCATTTTCTTCATAAGCAAAGCAGCTTAGTAAATTCTTGACATTCCATATCTATCTGATTTTTACTGGGTAAAGGGAGAGAGTTAGCTCAAGATCACGTTTGTCCATAAAGAGGAGAAAGGGTTTTATTTTTCCTTTACTCACAGTAATGTTGTCATTTAAAAAAGTGTTGCCCATCTGATGGATGTATAGTGGTATCTCAAAGTGGTCCTGATGTATTATTCTTTGCTTTTTATTATTTTCTTCCTTCGATGTTCTTCAGACTTAATTTACTGTTCATTTTCTAACTTACTGGAAGATTGGCCATTGATGAGCCGCCCTTTCATTTAAAGCTATCAATGTTTCTAAGTATGGCTTTTGGTATATTCCACGAATTTGATATGCCATATTTTATTATTTAGTTCAAAATATTTTCTAAGTGTTTTGTGATTTTTTTTTCTTTGATCCAAGGGTTGTTTAGAGTTATTGGGGGTAACTAGTGAAGATTTAGTTTATTAGGTGTTCTAGTTATTTTATTACTAATATTTAGCTTAATATTGACATTAGAAAATATTTTCTATGATTCTAATTCTTTAGAGTTTGTTGAATTTTACTTCATGGCCCAGCATATGGTCAGCTTTTTAAAATGTTCCATGTGTAGTTGAAAATAATAATGTATATGTAGTAGTTGTTGGATATACTGTTCTGTAAGTATCAAAATATATCAGGTTTATTGATAGTGGTCAGATCTTCCCTGTGTCTACTTTACTGTATGTGTGTGAAGTTCTTTCAGGTAGCAGAGGGGCATGTTAAAATCTCCACTATGACATTGTCAGTTCTGGCTGACAGCGTGTTTTGAGGCCATGTAATTTAGTTTGTAAACATGCTGGTGGGTTGTCTCTATCATTATGAAATTATTTCTTTATCTCTAGCAGTGCTTCAGCATATAGAATTCACTTGATCCGTTATTACTGTAGCTTCACCAGCTTTTATTTGGTTAGTGGTTAGCGTGATATGTGTTTTTCCATCCTTGTAGTTTTAACTGTTTTGTGTCCTTAAATGTACTGGTTTTTTTTGTAAGAAGTATATAGTTGAGTTTTTTTGGTCCAATCTTACAGTATTTACAGTTTTAATGGAATATTTTAATGAATTTTACATTTACTAGAATTACTTATATTTTTGGATACAGATTATTAGCTTGCTGTTTTCTATTTGTCCAGTGTCATTTTTTTTTTCCTTCTTTTTCCTCTCTGGCTTATCTTGATTAATTTTTAAAATTAATCCATGTTTTTCAGCTGTTAACTTGTAGTTATACATACATTAAGTATTCTATTTATTTATTTATTTGTAGCAATTGGGATCTTGCTCTGTTGCCCAGGCTAGTCTTGAACTCCTAGCTTCAAACAATTCTCCCACCTCAGCCTCCCAAAAGTGTTGGGATTACAGGCATGAGTCACTGTGCCCAGCTAAGTATTCTTCTATGTATGTTATTTCTATATATTTTATACAGAGGATTATTTTATAATATAGAGATTATAATTTACTTTCTTGACTGTGAATTAGTATTTTTACCACATCCCAGACAATGGAAGGACCTTAGCACACATTAACTCCATTTAATTGCTCTTCTTTTTTTTTTCTTTTATTGTCAGGTATTTAAATTCTATAAGATGTTATTGTAATTATTTTATGCAGTAAATACTCATTTAGGTTTGTATACCTTGGTCGTTTCTGTTACTTTTTATTGCTTTTTTGGTTTTCCTGCCTCCATCTGAGAATTTTTTTTTGAAGAGATTTTTATTATTTAATGTAGTACACTTACATTAGCAATGATTTCTGTCAGTTTTTTTTTAATCTAAAAATTCTGTTTTAAAAAATGTTATCACTAGGTATAGAATTCTAGGTTGGCAGTTGGAGTCCATTTTTTGTAGGAACATTACTGTCAGTTTTATTGTTGCTTCTTTGAAGGAACTGTGTTCCCCATTCCCTTAGGAGTTCCTTTAGCTGTATCCCACAGCACTTTGCTTGCTTGCTTATTTATTAGGGAGAGTTTATTTTATTTTTATGGGTACATAATAGTACATATTTATAGAGTACGTGTGATATTTTGATATAAACATACAGTGTATAATGATCAAATCAGAGTAATTAGGATGTCCATCACCTCTAATATTTATTGATTCTCTGTGTTAGGAACATTTTAGATCTGCTCTTCTAGTTATTTTGAAATATACAACAAATTGCTGTTAACTATTGTTACTCTGTGATGCTGTGGAACACTAGATCTTATTCCTTCTATCTAAATTTTTATGTACCCATTAGCCATCCCTTCTTAATTCCCCCCTTTCCCACCATTCTTTACAGCCTGTGGTAATCATCATTCTACTCTTTAGCTCCATGAGCTCATTTAAAAAAAAAATTTTTTTTTTTTTAGCTCCCACATATAAAGGAGAACATGTGATGTTTGTTTTTGTGTGCCTGGATTATTTCAGTTAACATAATGACTTCCAGTTCCATCCATGCTGTTGCAAGTGACAGGATTTCATTCTTTTTTATGTCTGAATGATACGCCCTTGTGTATTTATACCACATTTTTAAATCCATTCATCTATTGATGAACACTTAGGTAGATGCCATATCTTGGTTATTGTGAATAGTGCTGCAATAAACATGAGAGTGCAAATATCTCTTTGACATACTGATTTCCTTTCTTTTGGATATATACCCAGCAGTGGGATTGCTGGATCATATGTAGGTTCTGTTTTTAGTTTTTTCAGGAACTCCATAATGTTTCCAATAATAGCTGTACTAATTTACATTCCCACTAATGGTGTATGAGCATTCTCCTTCCTCCATATTCTTGCCAGCATCTGTTGTTTTTTTGTCTTTTTGATAAAAGCCTCTTTAACTGGGGTGAGATATCTCATTGTGGTTTTGATTTGCATTTCTCTGATGATTGATTGATTTGCATTCCTCTGATTATATGAGAATTTTTTCATATACCTGTTGGTCATTTATATGTCTTCTTTTAAGAAGTTTCTATTCAGATCTTTTGCCCAGCTTTTAATTGGATTATTATTATTATTTTGCTGTTAAGTTGTTTGAGTTCCTTATATATTTTGGTGGTTAATCTCTCACCAGTTGAATAGCTTACAGGTGTTTTCTGTCATTCTGTAGGTGGCCTCTTCACTTTGTTGACTGTTTCCTTTGCTACACAGAATCTTTTTAGCTTGATATGATCCCATTTATTTATTTTTGCTTTGCTTGCCTGTGTTTTTGAGGTCTTACTTAATAAATCTTTGCCCAGGCCAATGTCCTGAAGCATTTCTCTGATGTTTTCTTCTAGTAGTTTCATAGTTTCAGGTCTTACATATATGTCTTTAATTCATTTTGATTTGATTTTTATATGTGGTGAGAGACAGAGATCTAGTTTCATTTTTCTGCACTTGGATATCCAGTTTTCTGAGTACCATTCATTGAAGAGACTGTTCTTTCCCCAAAGTATGTTCTTGGTGCTTTTGTTGAAAGTTGACAAAATGTGTGGATTTATTTCTGCATTCTTTATTCTGTTTTGTTGGTCTGTATGTCTGTTTTTATGCTAGTATCATGCTGCTTTGGTTACTATAGCTTTGTAGCATAATTCAAAGTTAGGCAGTGTGATGCCTCCATCTTTGTTCTTTTTGCTCAGGATTGTTTTGGCTGTTTAGGATCATGTTTTGTTCCATATACATTTTAGGATTTTTTTATATTTCTTTTTGTTCCTTCTAGGATGCAAATTTACATGCATGTTAGATTATTTCACCATGTTAAAGGAAAAACTTGAGACAAAATATACATGCATGTGTCTTTATGATAGAACAAAATTAACTTTGGTTTAAGAGATATTGCTGTTGAATCTGTTTTTATTTCTAAACATATTTCTTGGTTCTTGTTGAATTTATTGATGATGAAACCATGTTATCAAGTGAAAATAATAAGTTGGAATTCAGTCACTTAGTGACCTCTGTGATCATAGGCAATTCACGTATCAGCTTTAAGCCTCATTTTGATCATTTGTAAAATAGGTATCATAGTGCCATACCATCTAACTATGAATGAATGATACAAAATAAGCAGTGTTTGGCATAAAGTAAATATCAGTGTTTTAGCTGAACACCTTTTATGTTTGGTTCACTATATTATTGGGCCCTGACTTCAACGAATGTTAGTTATCTCCGCAACAACTCTAATATAGCATAGAATGTGGTAAGTCCTCAAGAAAGGATTTAAGTATTCTGGGGAGTTTAGAGGAGATGAAAAGAATAATTGAAATACTATATAAATTATGATAACTGTTTAAAATAGGGACTAAGAGAAACCTTTGCATTATTGTGGGTTGGGAGGCATTGAACTAGCCCTCATTTGTGACTCTGTTTTTGAGTAGCATTTAAGAATTTGAAAGTTTGTAATTATTTGTACACATTTTCTTTAGGTATCATCTACCTGTTCATGTAATCAGACACCATGCTGTGAGTCCTTACTCCATAGTTTTGCCCTTATCTGCTGATTGTTTGGACTTGAAGCCGGTGTCAGATATGCTGAGAATAGCTTGGAACCTGTCATGGTATCATGGGAGTGATAATCTGTTGAAGCAAATGAACTCTGAAAGTAAAAAGCAAGAGTAAGCTCTTACTTTGTTGAAAAAGCATTTGCAATTAATTAATTGTAATTAATTAGTTAGGTTTTACTTTTTCCTTAAGTCTGGTAGCTTTTTCCCTTGATATCATCTGATTCTGCTTTTTAGCAGTTATAATTTTCACTTTCTTTTAAAGATTACATGTGTTTATTACTTTTCATCTATTATACAAGAAAATTTTAAATGAAAAAGCATTTTACTCTGTACTGTTATAGAGGTTAATGTCTGATTTGTTCATAGATATGAATCACTAGGAAAGGGGTTCTGGATTAGAATAAAATCTCAGTAAGTATATGCATGAGCGTTATCATTAGTGTGATGTTGATTACTTTTGAGTATCTTAATATTCTAATATGTCTGTCTTATGTGAATAAAAATTTTTATGGGAAGAAAAGTCATTATAAACATTTGGGGTGCCAATGTAAAATCCTAATATTGGCAGATATGTATCAGTTTTTCTTTTGGCTGTAAGTCAATCTTTTGTTAAAAGAAAAGATAAAACAACTTTTGGGAGAGTTTATAATAGAAATAAATGTGAGATTTCATTTAAATAGCTTTATGTTCCTCCTTCTTTTTTTTCTTTTTGTCTAGATTTTTAGATGCATTGAAGTTATCCACAGAGGATGTCCTCACTCTGAAGATAACACACATGGCTAGTGGGCTGCAGGACTGCCTCCATTCCATTGTTCAGGCTGCAGCCCACAGGGAAGTTAGGGCTGCTGTCACTAGGATGAGTTTTTATCTTCTGAATGACAGATTGTCTTTAAAGGGTGGCCCTGGTCCCTGTGGGGTTACCTTGAAGTCCTTGGCTTGGCACACAGCACTGAACAGGTCAGTGTAAGGTCAAGGCTGCCAGTTTCAAAGACCTGGATTGTATTGCATTTGTGTTCATCTCCTAACCTTTGAAGATAAGAGTCTATGCCCTTACTGCTGCTATCATAGAAAGAAAAACTCCAGGATTTGTATCATCTGTAAGAATAGCCAAAGAGAAATTTTTAATTTAGGTATTGCATTGTTGAAGGGATTATTAATAAACTTATAACAATTTATTATCGTTAGAAAATTTTACCTCACAAAAGTAAATAATTAGGGTAAGACATGGATGAAACAAATTGAATGTTTATTTCTATCCATGTTATAAATGAGTTGAGACATCAGTGAATTGATTAATAGGTGTGGTACACCTGCCACAGGCTGTTTTGTTTTGTTTTGCTTTTGTTTTGTTCTTAAGTAAATTATATCATTTTTCTTTTTACTCTCAATTTCATGAAGTTGATTGCCATGTGGAGGTCCTTTATAGCAGTTAATTGGGAAGGCTCTAGCTTGTCAGTTTAACATGCTTAACTTGTAGCAGATGGTTGCATTTGCAACAAGACTGATAAGCAACTGCTGCAAGCAGGTTTTCATTTTATTCTTCATGTGACTTTAGTATAAAATGTATAACTTTATTATTTAACATAAAATGTGCAGTTTTTAAGCTGCTAGGTTAAATGAGTTCCCAAAATATGAATTCCTTTATTAGTTTAGCTTTAAAGATTAGTTTATCTGATTAGGCTTTCCAGTGGTGTGCTGGTGCCCACTAATACAGCCTTGTGAGAGAGCTGATGGTTGAATTTTCAGGATTTTTGTAAGTTGATTGTTAAACACAGCCATTCTTAACAATCATATAAACTTACAATTAAATAAGTTATATGAAAAATAAAGGTAATGAATATGCAAACATCACTTTCTAATTATGTGGCAACATTTTACTGTTATCTTTGTTCTTAGGTTATGCATACATGTACACTACAGGGGTATGTATTTTATGGAAATAACTACAGTGGAATGCCAGTGTGCATCTCTTCACAACTTCATGTTACATGGGTGGCTCCAAATTGTCTGGAGTGGGTTATTTACACCATGGAAATTGACAAACACAATAAGTCAGCACTCTACTTCTGTTAGACAGTTACATATTTATCAGCACACTCCGGCATTTAAACAGTTTTGCCAGTTGAAGAATGCATAAATCCTTCACTTTAAATAAATTTAGTATGTCCCTATTTGTCAAAAAAACTTTTAACATAAAAGCTGATTGTATTCATTGCACTAAGTTTTCTTTCTCTTGTGAATTAAAACCATAGAAATAGTATGCAATACTGCATTACAGGAAAGACTCTCAAACTGTGGGTCAAGGAAGCCTTTAGAGTGTTTCAGATTGCCCAGTAGCAATAACTATATGTGAGCATCACATTTTTATTGTTAGTTTCCTCAGGACTAGTGTTAAGTGGAGAGCATAGACTGTGTATATGTTTTTTATATTTATATAATATTCATCTCATATTTGGTTTTTAGGTCTGTGCTTGATCATGGCAACACAGACACTACTGCCTAATTTATAAATATTCATGTGTTTCTGCTGTATTATGTTTCACTAAAGAATGTACCAAGCACCATTTAAGTTGTTGGTTCATCTTAGATAATTAGTCAAAAAGGTGATGTTCCTATTTATCATTAAACTCAGTGAAAGCAAAACTAAAACTTGTTCATACTATTTTACATGCTATTTTTCATTTCATTCCATCCTTTCAGAGTATTTTTCTAATCTCAATTTTCATAATCCGATACTTGCCATCCTATGGAGCTGAATGTCATTTTGGGGATGTGGGAATTTTAAGTAAGGAAAAATAATAATGAGACAAACACCACATTACTAAGAAATATAGCATTATATATCCCTGGTGTTGGACTGCTTAGTTTAGTATTCATGTTTTAAAACTTGCTAGCCGTATGACTGGGGAAAAACGACTTAACCATATTGTTGCTTGAGTCTTCTTGTCTTTGAAATAGAGGTACTTACTTCACACTGTTGTTATGAAGTTTGACAAAAACCCTGCTCTTAGAGCATAGGCTGGCACAAGGTTGGTGCTCAATAAATGCTGAATATTAAGATTCGTATTATTGTCACTCTTATTAACATTTTGATGCAATTGCTTTAGATTTATAAAAAATAAAACATTACAGATAAAATTGAATCTCATATCTCTTCCTGATTGCTTTTTTAAAAAATGATTTTCCAAACTACTTTTCCCTTTTAAATAAAAGTTTTATTGTCTACTAATCTTTTAGCTCTCTTAAACCAGTTTTTTTTCTTTTTAAAGAAATCTAGGAAAATTGGCTCATATCCTTTTACTCCAAACTTACATCCTAAGTCTACCTTCTGTGTTTTCCATGCCTCTTACAAACTGGTAGCATCCTTGCAGGACTTTTTTCCCCCCTCACTTTATTACCTTATTTTTTCAAGTTGGTCAGAATTAGGTTTGAAGTACTAATCCTTATCAGTGAAACATGGCATTCTCAGTATGAAAAAGCAAGTTTCATTGGACAGTTAGAGTTAGTGTTTTTCCCCTTGGTATTTTTTTGGTACTTTTCCTGAATTTGTTATTTTTCTCTTATGATATTTGTCACTTCTAGTTATTTTAGTTACTTGTCCACATGTTTTTTCCACTATAAACTCATGTTCTTGAAGGCAGATACCCAGTTTGTTTCAACTTTGCATTTTTCAAAGCATTTAGAACAGTGTCTCATAAAATAGCATCCTCACAAGGCACCTGTTAAGGCCCCATATCTGTGATGAACAGTGGTATTGTGTATTTTAAAGCGCTAGAAACCATGATTATTGTCTTTTCATTATAGGTTTTTACAAGTGCTTCCTGCTTGCACTGAAGATGAGAAACTGCTAATAGATATTGTACATTTTTTAAATAAATTAATAAAAGAACAAAGAAAAAATTCGTCACTAGAACTTCTAAACTGGATTCTCGAATTACTTCTTAGACATGTAAGTGGTGTTATTAAGGAATTTGGATTTTAAGTTTGGGAAGTAACTTATTCGTAGAAATCATTAGCATTATATTATGGAAAAGGGTAATTTTATATTGCCTGCGCTCGGTAAAGTTGTCCTTATGTAATGAATGGCTCATAACATGCCTTTCCTGATACGATTGTGAATGTGTTTATTAAAATTTTGTACGGTGAATGGGACCTACAGTCTTGTGTTTAATCACACCTGTTCTGCATGTGAACTTTCTGCTGCAACTGTATTTTTAAGTGGGAATTTCAGTTCAGGTGGCAGGGGACAGGGTGGATGTCCAGATAGGCGTGTTGAGACTTGGCTAACAAAGCCAACTGAAGGCAGGAGGGGTATAGTGATGGTGAAGTTGTGAAGAATGAGTAAAGTGTGCTCAGGCTTTAAATAACGGCTGCTGGAGTATTTACCCTTCTAGCCCCCACTACTCTTAGATTTTTAGCTCTTCTAAAAATTCTAAATTTTTTTTTAAAGACAGAGTCACACCCTGTCACCCAGGCTGGAATGCAATGGCGCAATCTCGGCTCACTGCAACCTCTGCCTTTTGGGTTCAAGCCATTCTCCTGCCTCAGCCTCCTGAGTAGCTGGGATTACAGGTGCCCGCCACCATGCCTGGCTGATTTTTGTGTTTTTAGTAGCGGCGGGGTTTCACCATGTTGGCCAGGCTCGTCTTGAACTCCTGACCTTCAGGTGATCCACCCACCTTGGCCTCAAAGTGCTGGGATTACAAGCGTGAGCCACCATGCCCAGCTCTAAAATTTTTCTAAATAGCTATTCTAAATATTTTGGCTATTCAGATTTCTTATTCTAAGAAGTCCGCGAAGAACACAAGAAGCCAGGTCCCTATTGTTGGTCTATCTGTCTGTTTATGTATTTATTTGCAAATACCATATGAATTTACTCAACTTAGGTAAGATAAAGCTTTATACAAATAAGAAAAAAAAAAAAGCTAGAAAAGAGGGCCTAAACTGATAGAGGAGATAGTGGATCTCATAAGGCAAATATGTTTCTTTATATATTAATACATTTGCAAAATTTAGAGATAATTTTCTGTAAAAATATGAATTCCTGTGTTGTTAGACATGCTGATATAATGTTTGTGTGTATATAAAACTTATTTAGATGTTTATTATTGCCTTAGCCTATTTTCTGTTGTTTCTAACGTAATACCAGAAACTGGGTAATTTGTAAAAAACAGAATTTATTTCTTATGGTTATGGAGTCTAGGAAGTCCAGGTTTAAGGGGACACATCTGGTGAGAGCCTTCTTGCTAGTGGGGACTCTCTGAAGAGTCCCGAGGTGATGCAGGGAATATATGGTGAGGGGGCTGAGCATGCTAATGTGCTATCTCAGGTTTTTCTCTTCCTACAAAGCCACCAGGTCCCCTTCCGTGATAACCCATTAATCCACTGCTCCGTGAATGGATTAGTCTATTCATGAGAGTAGGGCCTTCATGATCCAGTCACCTCCAAAGGCCCCACCTCTCAATACTATTACTTTGCGGATTAAATTTCAACACGAATTTTGGAGGGAACGTTCAAACCATAGTAATTATCTTTTCCTTTATTGTAGACTGGTGAAAATTGGGACTGTTTTGTTCATTATTGCATACTCAGCATTTACTATAGTGCCTTGCCCATAGTGAACTGTGAATACTCAGTAATAAGCTATGTAGTTAATTACAAGAAGCACACAAAACCTTAATTTTGTAACTTGTTAAGGTTTAACAAAAATGGAAACCATGTATTATGTTCAAGGTTACTTATATATGCAAGTATATTTATAGAGTGAATTTCTGGAATTGTAATTGCTGAGTCAAATTGTAGAGGTGTGTGTGTACTGAGGTTTTGTGGTTTTATAAATAGATAACTTGTTTTGAATTAGATGGAGGTTTTTTCATATTTGGTCTTTTTGTGAATTGTATCTTGATGTCCTTGCTGGTTCTCCTCCACATTTGGGTTGTTAGTCTCCTTTGATTTCTTCTTTCCTGTCCTCTTTCTTTTCCTCCCTTCCCTTCTCCCTTCCCTTTCTCCTTCGTTTTTTCCTTCCCTTTTCCTCTCCCCTCCCCTCCCCTCTCCTTGGGGCATGATTTCATTCTGGTACCTGCAACTTGGACATTAGTGTAGAGATCTTTCACGTTTTGATTAAATTTATTCCTAAATATCTTAATTTTTTTTGGTAGCTATTTTAAATGAGGTTTTTTTTTGGGGGGGTAGTTAGTGTATAGAAATGCTACTGATTTTTTTATATGTTGATTTTGTATCCTGCAACTTTATTGAATTCATTTTTAAGTTCAAAGTTTTTTGGTGGAGTCTAGGTTTTTCTAGATTTAAGATTATATCATGAGCATAGAGGGACAACTTAACTTGCCTTTTTTCTAGTGTGGATGCCTTTTATTTCTCTATAGACTAATTGCTCTGGCTAGGATTTCTACTACTGTATTGAATAGACATGGTGAGAGTAGACATCCTTATCTTGTTCCTGATCTTAGAGAAAAAGCTTTAAACTTTTTGCCATTGAGTATGATGTTAGCTGTGGGTTTTTCATATATGGCCTTTATTGTGTTGGGATTCCTTTTCTACTTATTGAGAGTTTTTATTATGAAAGGATGTTGAATTTTGTCAGATGCTTTTTCTGCATCTGTTGGTATAATCGTGTGGTTTTTGTTTTTAATTCTGTTAATTTGTTGTATCACATTTACACATTTGTGTATGTTGAACCATCCTTGCATCCCTGGAATGAATTCCGCTTGATTATAGTGAATGATCTTTTTATTGTGCTCTTGGTTTCAGTTTGCCAGTATTTGGTAAAGGATTTTTATATCTGTGTTTATCAGGGATATTAGCCTGTAATTTTCTTTTCCTGTAGTTCCCTTGTCTGGCTTTGGTATCAGTGTAATGCTGCCATCATAAAATGAGTTTGGAGTTTTTAGAAGAGTACAGAGATTAGTATTAATTCTTCTTTAAATGTTTGGTGGAATTCAGCAGTGAAGCCATCAATCAGGTGTTGGGCTTTTCTTTGGTGAAAAACTTTGTATTCCTGCTTTAATCTCCCTGTTATTGATCTGTTCAGATTTTCTGTTTCTTCATGATTCAATCTTGGTAGCTCTATATGTCTAGGATTTTTTCCATTTGGTTGTCCAATTTGTTGACATGAAATTGTTCATAACAGTCTCTCATGACTTGTATTTCTCTGGTATCGATTGTAATGTCTTCCCTTTCGCTTCTCATTTTGTCTGTCTTCTTTTATTATTAGTCTAGCTAAAGATTTGTCAATTTTGTTCATCTTTTCAAAATCTCAATCCTTGATTCTGTTGATCTTTTCTATTGTTTTTCCAGTTTCTATTTCATTTGTATCTGCCCTGATCTTCATTGTTTTCTTACTTTTTACTAAGTTTTAGCTTCATTTATTCTTCTTTTTCTAGTTCCTTGAGGTTGTTTACTTGATATCTTTCTTTTTGACATAGATGTTTATTGTTACATATGTCCTTCTTAGACCTGCTTTTGCTGCATCCCGTAAGTTTTGGTTGGTTTTGTGTCCATTTTTGTTTGTCTCATGACGTTTTAAAATTTCCCTTTTAGCTTTTTCTTTGACCCATTGATTGTTCAGAAGCATGTTACTTAATTTCTCTGTATATGTAAATATTCCAGAATTCCTTCTTTTGTTGACTTCTAGTTTTTTATCATTATGGTCAGAAACAATATTAGATATTATTTCAATCTTGTTATATTTGTTGAGACTTGTAACACCATACATGTAAATTACTGTTAATTTTGTAGTATGTCGTGTTAATGTATATTTTATAATTTATTCATAGTTATGAAATTAAAATTCCTACAAGAATCTAGATGATTGTACTATAATTTTAATGCAGTTTTTGAAAAGGATTTTTGGTCCAGTTATGTTTACTTATTTGACTTTGTATGGTATTAAACCTTTCTTCGGAAAGTTTCTACTTTATCTCATATATTATCACCACAAGTGTTATAAATAATAATACTTTTAAGAATGCACAAAAGCGAACTTAAGTATTCGCTGTCAGGTGGGTTTACTCCCTAAATATTATGCTATGAGATAAATTAATATGTGTTATATAACTATCGATGTTTAGGATAAAGGGAACCTGGAAATAGAAAATCAAGTACCTTTTAAAGTTTATCCTTTGAAGTGAGTGAAATAAGTGAGAAATGATTTAAGAAGTTCAGTAAAATAACATTTCCAAGTAAATTGCTTTGAATGTATGGACATATGTGAAAAGATACACAAAAGCTGTGGTTGCAAAAACAAAATTAGGCAGATATGAACGCCTGATTAGTCAGAAGAATGCTAAGAGGAAGTGAAAAGAAAAATCAGCTAACTTCCTGAGGGAAGATAGGAACTTTCTCTTGTGAAAATTTTTTCGATGTGTTTTATCAAGACAGTCATTTATTACAAACATACTGTAATTCTTAGGCAATTTAGGAGTTTATTGTACCTCTAATCTGTTTTTAATATGATATTTTGTTTATAATAACCTAGAAGTGCTGAATTTGAATACCTTTCTTTTTGGAATGCATTTTTTTGATAGAAATTCATAAATGTGGGGCTCTTGGTTTTTTTTTTCTTTTGGTGAAGCTCAACAGAACTATATAGCATATATATTTTCCTTGGCTGACTTTCCCATAACAGGCTCATGTGCACCCAGACTTTATTGAGGGTCTTGCACACACTTTTGGCATAGCTTGCTGATGGATGTAAAATTGGATATGAGTAGTGGTAACTGTGTGCGTAAAGAAAATGAGCCATCATTATAGCAGTTGTTGCCTTTTAGAGGTCAACAGTGACAAAATAATGGCCCAAGTAGTTGGTTTATAATTAGGATTGAATACTAATGTCTAAAGACAAAAACTTCAGATATGATTAAGCACTTGACATCTGTAGGCATCATTAGAGACATCTTATTCTACTCTGTTGTCCTTGAGAAATGGTAATTCACCCTATATTTTAGAACTGTTATTTGCTGAGGTTCACTGAATTTCAGTGTTAACATGTAAATCAAAGGTAAAAAGAGAAAAAATCCTCAGGGATCTTCAAGTGGAAACAAGTTATTAATAGGATGAGATTCTTTGGGAGAATCTTAATTTTTAGGTATACACATACCGTATCAGTATATTCATGTATTAATGGTAGCTTCTACTTAATTTTTATCAGCATATCAAAATTAATAATTCCTGATAATGAAAATATGTTTTACAAGATGGAGTTTGCATCTTGATATAAACAGTTTGTTCATTTTGCCAGTAGTTTTGGGAGTCAGAAGGCATGTTAGTGTGAGTCAGCTTTTGGATATTTAGGGCTCAAAACACTGTAGAAAATATATTTATTTTTATGGTTTACTAAATGTGTATCTCGATTCTTTTATTCATATATGAAACATAAAAGTTGCAATTATGTCTTATGCAATTTTAATTTATTCAAAGACATATATTGCTTAAGATAAAAGAAAAAGTTGGGAAAAAAACTATTTAGATGTTAAAACACTGTAAAATAAGAGCAAAATGTCTCTACTAAATAGTTTCCAAAAGCTCTCAGTTATATTACTAATAATTGTATGTATCTCTATATACTGTAAGAAATTTAGAGGTTTCTTTACATATTTTCATTTCTTTTCCCTAAAGAGAATGCAGTTAATTTTGAATTGAGTTCTTTAGGTGAAGGATTTTATAAGAACAATACGTACATTTTGATTGTATCTCTTTTTGTATGTTGTTATGTGCACTAGTGATGTGACACTGTGCTGAGGATGGAATATTAACTAGCTTTGGAGTAAGATGCTTCTAGCTCTGCCCTTGTGTGTCTATGACTTAGATAGTTATTTAACCTCTTTATAAATCTGTGTTTCCATCTGTAAAACAGGAATGAAAATGCAAATCTTCTAGTTTAGTCAAAAAGTCAAATGAAATCTTACTATCTTTTTTTTTTAGCACAGTGCCTGAGACATCATAGATGATTAATAAATATCCCATATATGTATTAATGCTTCTGATTAATGTAACATTTTCTTTTGTCAATATTATTAGAAATAATCCTTTATCTATTTTTTTTTTTTAGTTGGGAAAAGAGGAAAGATTTTAGAAAGCACTAATATTTGTTTACTAGCCTATCAAGTTGGCAAAGATTATTGCAGTAATAATTCACATAGCATTGGCTTGGGCTCTCTGGGTCTTTTCACATCCTGTGTAATTGTATGTATTGGTACAGTTTTTACAGGGACAGTTTGGCAATATATATCAAAAAATTAAAACTAATATATTTTGATTTAGTAGTTTTATTACAGAATTCATACATAAGATGAAATCCAACTTGAGTACACTGTGTGTTGCAGCTTAGTAAATTTATGCATCATTGATTATCCAGGAGTTAGTGTGGTAAATCCTTATTGTTGAAAAACAATCAGATATTAAACTAATGTTTTTGCAGAAATATTGTTAATAGGAAGTAGGAAAAAATGGTTACAGTAATGTTTTTTTCACTTGATATAGGTTTGTGAAAAATGTATAGTTTTAATTCTGTTTATATTCTCGGAAACAAAAAGGAGAGTTATATATCAATATATAATAGTGGCAATTTCTGTGTGGCATGATTATGTGTGGTTTTGTTTTTCTCATTCTCCTTTTTTTCTATTTTCCATGATAAATATGTTCTTCTTTTGTTGAGAACATATTAAACATCTTTTGAATTTAGAACATCTCTACTAATGCAGTAGAGGCCCACACCTACTAGTTAGGTAATATAACTCTTAATCTAGAATGTGGTTAGCAACAAAAACCTTTATAGGAAACAATATATAGTTCAATTAGTAAATATATTTTTTACAAATTTCCTTTTTTAGAATGCAAACCCACTGTTAGACCTCTTGGTTCTGACAGAGTCACAGGCACGAGAAGAAACAGATGATATCCGGACTGCTGTCAGGCAACAACTTCAGAAAGAACTGATGGCTCTTTTTGATACCTTGCTGCTCAATTTCATGGAAGTTACTGACAGGTACCATTTGTAACATTGCAAGTTTAGGTGCATTTATATAGAACCTAATTTTTCTTTGATTTTCAAAGTTTTACTTTGTACTTCTTTAAAATTAAGGAATACTTCTTTCAAATACTTAAGTAATAATCAGTTGTAGTGTTCTGTTTGTTTTTGTTTCAGTTTAGTCTGTTACAGCCCGATTGTACATGCTTGGTCTGCTTCACTACATACATGCATGCATGCACTCACACATATGCACACACACAGCGTTTTGTTCTCTAGGGTTTAAATTCTGGTTCTCTCTTAATTATCTACAAATCTACTTGAGCAGTCATACCTATGCCTGTGACCTTATGATTTCCCTTACACTGACTTTCAAATGCATAGCTCTACTTATGAATTCTATTTTTAAAAAATAAAAAGTTAAGGTGAAAGTCACTATGTTAACCATTTTAAAATGTGCATTTGAATGGTTTTTAGTATATCCATAATGTTTTGCAACTGTCACTACTACCTAATTCCAGAATGTTATCATCACCCCCAAAGGAAGCCTTGTATCCATGAGAAAGCCCCTCCCTATTCACACGTTCCTCTAGGCCCTGGCAGCCACTAGTCTTCTTTCTATGTCTGTGGATTTGCCTATTCTGGATATATCACATAAATGAAATCAAACAGTAATGTGACCTTTTGCCTCTAACTTCTTCACTTAGCATCATGTTTCCAAGGCCTTTGCATGCTGTAGCAAATATCACTACTTCTTTCTATGACTGAATAATATTCTATTTATAGATATGCCATGTTTTGTTTATCCATTCATTCCTTGGTGGACATTTGAGCTGTTTCTACTTTTGGCTATTATGAATAGTATTGCTGTAAACATGCATATACAAATTTTTGTGTGGACATGTGTTTCAGTTCTCTTGAGTATATAACTAGGAGTGGAATTGCTGGTTCATATGGTAACTGTAATGTTAACTCTATGTTTAACTTTTTAAGGAAATGCCAAGCTGTTTTCCACAGCAGCTATACCGTTTTACATTCCCACCAGCAATGTATGAGTGTTTCAATTACCTCATATCCTCACCAACACTTGTTGTTATAGCCATCCTAATGGGTGTAGACTGGTATCATTTTGGTTTTTATTTGCATGTCCCCAGTGAAAAATAATTTTGAGTATCTTTTCATATTCTTATGGCTATTTGTGTATCTTCTTCAGAGAAATGCCTATTCAACATCTTTGAGGATTTAGCATCAATGTCCATCAGGGCTATCAGCCTAACATTTTCCTTGTTTTGTCTTGTTTTTTGCTTTAAATATGTCCCAGAGATTCTGGTACATTGTGTCTTCGTTCTCATTGGTTTCAAAGAACATCTTTATTTCTGCCTTCATTTCGTTATTTTCTCAGTAGTCATTTAGGAGCGGGTTGTTCATTTTCCATGTAGTTGTGTGGTTTGGAGTGAGTTTCTTAATCCTGAGTTCTAGTTTGATTGCACTGTGGTATAAGAGACTGTTTGTTATGATTTCTGTTCTTTTGGGTTTGCTGAGGAGTGTTTTACTTACAATTATGTGGTCAATTTTAGAATAAGTGCGATGCAGTGCTGAGAAGAATGTATATTCTGTTGATTTGGGGTGGAGAGTTCTGTGGATGTCTATTAGGTCTGCTTGGTCCAGAGCTGAGTTCAAATCCTGAATATCCTTGTTAATTTTCTGTCTCGTTGATCTAATATTGACAGTGGGGTGTTGAAGTCTCCCACTGTTATTGTGTGGGAGTCTAAGTCTCTTTGTAGGTCTCTAAGTACTTGCTTTATGAATCTGGGTACTCCTGTATTGGATGCATATATATTTAGGATAGTTTGCTCTTCTTGCTGCATTGATCCCATTATCATTATGTAATGCCATTCTTTTTCTCTTTTGATCTTTGTTGGTTTTAAGTCTTTTGTATCAGAGATTAGGATGGTAACTCCTGCCTTTTTTTTTTCTTTTTGAGACGGAGTCTCGCTCTGTCACCCAGGCTGGAGTGCAGTGGCCGGATCTCAGCTCACTGCAAGCTCCGCCTCCCGGGTTTACGCCATTCTCCTGCCTCAGCCTCCCAAGTAGCTGGGACTACAGGCGCCCGCCACCTCGCCCGGCTAGTTTTTTGTATTTTTTAGTAGAGATGGGGTTTCACCGGGTTAGCCAGGATGGTCTCGATCTCCTGACCTCGTGATCCACCCGTCTCGGCCTCCCAAAGTGCTGAGATTACAGGCTTGCGCCACTGTGCCCGGCCACTCTTGCCTTTTTTTCTTTGCTTTCCATTTGCTTGGTAAATCATCCTCCATCCCTTTATTTTGAGCCTATGTGTGTCTTTGCATGTGAGATAGATTTCTCGAATGTAGCACACTGATAGGTCTTGACTCTTTATCCAGTTTGCCAGTCTGTCTTTTAATTGGGTCATTTAGCCCATTTACATTTAAGGTTAATACTGTTATGTGTGAATTTGATCCTGTCATTATGATGCTAGCTGGTTGTTTTGCCTGTTAGTTGATGCAGTTTCTTCATAGTGTCGATGTTCTTTACAATTTGGTATACTTTTGCAGTGGCTGGTACCGGTTGTTCCTTTCCATATTTAGTGCTTCCTTCAAGAGCTCTTGTAAGGCAGGCCTGGTGGTGACAAAAGCTCTCAGCATTTGCTTGTCTGTAAAGGATTTTATTTCTCCTTCGCTTATGAAGCTTAGTTTGGCTGGATATGAAATTCTGAGTTGAAAAATATTTTCTTTAGGAATGTTGAATATTGGCCCTGACTCTCTTCTGACTTGCAGGTTTCTGCAGAGAGATCTACTGTTAGTCTGATGGACTTACCTCTGTGGGTAACCCAACCTTTCTCCCTGGCTGCCCTTAACATTTCTTCCTTCATTTCATACTTGGTAACTCTGATGATTATGTGTCTTGGGGTTGCTCTTCTCGAGTATCTTTGTGGTGGTCTCTGTATTTCCTGAATTGGAATGTTGGCCTGTCTTGCTAGGTTGGGGAAGTTCTCCTGGATCATATCCTGAAGAGTGTTTCCAGCTTGGTTCCATTCTCCTTGTCACTTTCAGGTGCACCAATCAAACGTAGATTTGGTCTTTTCACATAGTCCTATGTTTCTTGGAGGCTTTGTTCATTCCTTTTTATTCTTTTTTCTCTAATCTTGTCTTCATGTTTTATTTCATTAATTTGATTTTCAATCACTGATATCCTTTCTTGGTGACCTTCGGATGGGGTCTTTGAGTGGACGTGCTGTTTCTTTCTGTTTGTTACTTTTCCTTCTGACAGTCAGGCCCCTCTGCTGCCGGTCTGCTGAAGTTTGCTAGAGGTCCATTCCCGACCCTGTTTGCCTGGGTATCACCAGCGGAGGCTGCAGAACAGCAAAGATTGCTGCCTGATCTTTCCTCTGGAAACTTTGTTCCAGAGGGGCACCTGCCAGATGCCAGCCAGAGCTCTCCTGTATGAGGTGTCTGTTGGCCGCTACTGGGAAGTGTCTCCCAGTCAGGATACACGGGGGTCAGGGATCCACTTGAGGAGGCAGTCTGACCCTTAGCAGAGCTCGATTGGTGTGCTGGGAGGTCTGCTGCTCTCTTCAGAGCCCTCAGGCAGGGACGTTTAAATCTGATGAAGTTGCGCCCACAGCCACCCCTTTCTCCAGGTGCTCTGTCCCAGACAGATGGGTTTTTTTTTTTTTATCTGTAAGTCCCTGTACGGGGCTGCTGCCATTTTTTCAGAGATGCCCTGCCCAGACAAGGGAAATCTGGCAGTCTGGCCACAGCAGCCTTGCAGAGCTGCAGTGGGCTCTGCCCAGTTCGAACTCCCCAGTGGCTTAGTTTACACTGTGAGTGCAAAACCAGCTACTCAGGCCTCAGCAATGGCGGACGCCCCTACCCCCACCAAGCTTGAGCGTCCCAGGTGGATCTCAGACTGCTGCTGTGCTGGCAACGAGAATTTCAAGCCCGTGAATCTTAGTTTGCTGGGCTCGATGGGAGTGGGACCCGCTGAGCCAGACCACTTGGCTCCCTGGCTTCAGCACCCCTTTCCAGCGGAGTGAACGCTTCTGTCTCTCTGCTCTTCTAGGTGCCACTGGGGTATGGAAAAAAAGAACTCCTTTAACTAGTTTGGTGTCTGAAACCCAGGGCTCTGGTGGGGTAGGCAACCCAGGGAATCTCCTGGTTTGTAGGTTGTGAAAACTGTGGGACAAACACAGTATCTGTGCGGGAGTTCCTCAGGCTCAGTCTGTCATGGCTTCCCTTGGGTGGCGGAGAAAATTCCCCGACCCCTTGCACTTCCCCGGTGAGGCAACGCCCCACCCTGCTTTGGCTCGCCCTCTGTGGACTGCACCCATGGTCCAACCAGTCCCAATGAGATGAACCGGGTACCTCAGTTGGAAATGCAGGAATCACCCGCCTTCTGTGTCCATCTTGCTGGGAGCTGCAGACTGAAGCTGTTCCTATTCGGCCGTCATGCGGGCAATCCCCCCCGACCTTTTTTTTTTTTTTTTTTCCTTTTTTTTGAGAACGGAGTCTCGCTCAGTCGCCCAGGCTGGAGTGCAGTGGCGCGATCTCGACTCACTGCAAGCTCCGCCTCCCTGGTTCACGCCATTCTCCTGCCTCAGCCTCCCGAGTAGCTGGGATTACAGGCGCCCGGCTAATTTTTGTGTGTGTATTTTTGGTAGAGACAGGGTTTCACCTTGTTAGCCAGGATGGTCTTAATCTCCTGACCTCATGATCCGCCTGCCTCGGTCTTCCAGAGTGCTGGGATTACAGGCGTGAGCCACCGCACCCGGCCTTTTTTTTTTTTTTTTAAGAGATGGGAGCCTCACTGTCTCACCCAGGCTGGAGTGCAGTGACACATTCTTAGTTCACTGTAACCTCAAGCTCCTGGGCTTAAGAGATCCTCCCGCCTCAGCTTCCTGAGTAGCTGGGACTGTAGGCGTGCACCACCACACCTGACTAATTATATTTATTTATTTTTTTATTTTATTTCATTTTTGTAGAAATAAGTTCTGACTGTGTTGTGTTGCCCAAGCTGGCCGCGAGCAATCCTCCCACCTCAGGCTCCCAAGGCGCTGGGATTACAGGCGTGAGCCACTGCCCGTGGCCCAGTGTAATTGTTACTTGTATTATGTATGACATTCTCTAGTTGGTATTTTATGCTTTCCTTGAAAAGTCTCGTTTTGATAGAGAATATTTTCTGCCATTTTGTCTAGTTCATTTTTTTTCTATTATTGTGAGTTTAAGTAACCTTTTATAGCCAGTAAGATAGCCCATTAAGCCCATTATACTTCCTTGGTGGTTGATTTTCCCTCTTCTGCGTACATAGGAAATGCTCGGAACTTCTTTACGTTTTTCAAACACAGCTGGCTCTGAAACTGCTCCAGTGTCTGAAAGTGACGGATGCGCCTCATTTCTATGGCCTGCCGTCCCTTGAGCGGACCTTACGAGGGATGGCTAACCTCACTGCGTTTCCGGGGTGGAGCTCACATTCCCCTCTCACAGAGCCTCTCGATATCTGTGTGAAGTACTTGTCAGGTCTCCTTGAGGTAAGTAAAAATAACGCCCCCCCGCCCATGGTACTTATTTACTATTTACTGATGGCTTTTATTTTGTGCCAGACCACAAGTGCATTTTATGTTACTCTATTCAACGTAGAATATTATGTATTGTTTATATAAGTCATAAATAGTGAAATGTTTTAGTGACTTTTATTAATTGATAAGTAAGGAAGGTCACTTTTATAAATACCCTGATTTTCAAAAAAATAAATGGAAACTTTTGATGCTCAAAGGAAGTGTTCACTAGAGCATTTCAGATTTTGGATTTTTGGATTAGGGATGCTCAACCAGTAAGTATATGATACAGTATTTCAAAATCCAAAGAACACAAAAATTCAAACACTTCTGGTCCCAAGCATTTGGCATACGACATACTCAGTCTGTACAATGTTAAAGGGTATTTGTTGTTTCTTTTTATTCCAGTTTGTGCAGTTTTAGATGCTACCGCTATGAACATTCTTACCTTTTGGTGAAAATGAGCATCTTTTTTGAAATTTTATCTTTTGTTACTGAAATATGTAAATACAGCCAATTTTTATACATTGGCCATGTATCCAGCAATTCTTATTTCCAATATCAAAACAAAAACCTTTAATTTTTCACCCTTCAGTATGCTGTTTATAGTTTTTTTTTGTCAATTAAGAAAAATCAAATAAAGGAAGTTTTCTTTTGTCCTGTTTTGCTAGGAGCTTTTTTTTAAATTCATAATTATATATTGCTTTTTTCTGCATCTTTTAGGATAATCACACGATTTTTCTCTTATATTCCATTATTGATTGATTTTAAAATGTTAAACCTTGCATTTCTGGAAACATTTCAGTTAGGTTGTGATGTATTATTCTTTTTATATATTAATGGATTTATTTTCTCAATTTTTTAGAATTCTGAAGTTTTTAGAATTATTCTACCTATTTTCTCATGTAAAAATGTTTTTCGAATTTTGCATCTTTTTTCTCTTAAAGAATTTGTAAGTTTTTAATATCAAAATCATTCCATTCTTATGACTAAAATGGGAGAATGACGAATTAATGCAGCAGGGAGATTCTAAGAACATGACCTTTTCAACCATTTTAACTCTTTTCCTTTATATAACTTTTTTTTTTTTTTTTTTTTTTTTGGAATAGCTGATTTGCATTAATATGATTTTGTTCTCTAGTGTTAGATAGAATTTGATTGTGAAACAATCTTGGCTTGCAGTTTTCTTTTTGGGAAGATAGTAAATTATGAAATGACCTTTTTTTTTTTTTTTTTTTAATAAAGGCAGAATCTTGCTCTGTCGCCCAGGCTGGAGTGCAATGGCGCGATATTGGCTCACTGCAACCTCCGCCTCCCGGGTTCAAGTGATTCTCCTGCCTCAGCCTCCCAAGTAGCTGGGATTACAGGTGCCCACTACCACGCCCAGCTAATTTTTGTATTTTAATAGAGACAGTGTTTCTCCACGTTGGCCAGGCTGATCTCGAACTCCTGACCTCAGGTGATCCATCTGCCTTGGCCTCCCAAAGTGCTGGGATTACAGGTGTGAGCCACCCTGCCCAGCCTGAAATGACTTTTTAAATAGATCTGAAATCATTCAGAGTTTCTTTTTATGTGTTTCAGCCTTAGTAAGTTGTGTTTTTGTAGAATTTAAAAACTTTTTATCTAATTTTTAAAATTATTAGTGTAAAGTTATTCATCAGATCATCTTACTTTTTAAATGTCTGCTGAATCTGTGGTGAGGTCCCCTTTCATTCCAGACATTAATTATTCCTTTCTCAGTTTTTCTTGATTTGTCTTCCTAATAGAATGAACCTTTGGCTTTGTTGATTCTCTGTTTAACATTTTTCTCCTGTTTTATTTCTGCCAATATTTATTATCTCCTACTTTTAGTTTAGTTTGCAGATCTTTTTCTAACATTTTAAGGTAGAGGCTTACATCATTGATTTTTTTAAAGTCTTTCTCAAATGTGCATTTTTAGCTCTAATCCTCTAAGCATGGCCTTATGCCATGTTTTTACTATCATTAGGTCAAAATATTTCTGTTGTGATATAATAAATATGACAGTGATATGGTTGTACATAGTTCTGTGAGAACAGCCTCATCACAGTGGCCTGACAATTTTACATGTCTGCCGTTGGGCTTCATAGACAAGGCATAACCACAGCTGATCTAAATCTTGGCAGAATTTCCCATGATCCTTCTGGAACATGAGAATATGAAAGGCTTATGAGCAGCTGACTATACAAGGTTGATTCTTACTTATTTCACTGTCTATTAGGAAGTGAGGAGCCTGTTATTGGTTCCTAGGTTCCGATGAGCACTGGGCTTTCTGCCTTGCTCTCCTTGGGGCATAACTACAGGTTATAAAACTGCTTTACTGCAACTTGGCATGGGCTTCTCAGCAACAGAGTGTCTTACATCTGTGTTATAGTCATCTGGCCCCTTTGTTTCAATGTCATCCTGTGCAAAGGATACTAGGAGCTGGCACCTTTGACTATTTTTGCTTTTGCTGTTTATGTAGGTAATAAACTGTCTGAATCTAAAAAGTACTCATTGTTTTCTTCCTGGACAAATCTGTCAGCCTTGTTTTGATTGTTAACCATGTTAGGACCTCGAGAATGACTCTTGTAGGAAGCATTGTAGAGTTAGATTTTGAAAGATAAGTAAATTGATAGCAATAGGAATAGACACTCTAGACATGGAATTCTCTGATAAAATTGTACCTGTAACCTCCTGTTTTTTTTTTCATGCTGTGGGTGCCTTCTTGCCATTATATAGTCTCTACCTACTGCCAGATTATTTTTCAGAAACATAAATTTTTCAGTCCAGACTTCTTTTCAAGAGCCTAAGTCTCAATAATTTTGCATTTTGAGTTTTGTCTCCTTTGTAGTTTTTTCCCATGTCTCTGAATTTTCAGTTACATCTGGCTGTTTTTCCAAAATAAAAATGCGTTTTAAAAAGACTACTTCTCTCATACAGTTTCCTCTCTTTTAGGGATGGCAATCTGTACAAAAAATTTAAGCTCTAACTTATTTATTTCCTTTTTAAGGAAAAGGCTTCCTTTTGTAAACCTTTTCTTATTCTTCCAAAGTTGGATTCTTACCTAATATTGTTTGGCCTTTCCTGTAGGTTATATACCTGTAACAATTTATATGTGGCTATTACTTAATACATTTTATTTTTATTTATTTTACTTTCTTTCTTTGAGACAGGGTCTTGCCCTGTTGCTTAGGCTGGAGTGCAATGGCACAATCACATCTCACTACAGTGGCAACCTGCTGGGCCCAAGTCATCTTCCCACCTCAGCCTCCTAAGTAGCTGGGGCCACAGGTGTGCACCACTACATCTGCCTGTTTTTAAAATTTTTTTGTAGAGATGGGTCTCACTATGTTGCCCAGGTTTGCCTTGAATTCTTGGGCTCAAAGGTTCTTCCCACTTCGGCTTCCAAAAGTGCTACTATTACAGGCATGAGCCACTGTACCTGGACCTTTATTTTGTTTTCTGCATTGCTCTAGTAGACTGTGAGCTGATAAGTATCATCTTTGGACTATTTCTACTATCCCATGGCTACTTCATTGACCTAGCATAGTCATTTGCTAGGTCATGTAAAAAAAAAAAACATTTTTACATAGTGGTTAGTGAATCAGTTAATTAATATAAATGCTACATAATACATATATATTGGGTATAGTTTTTAAATTAAAATGCAGTTTGAAAAACATTTTGGAAATGTGACATAAATGATTATAAAAATGTTTTATTTTTGTATTTTTATTAAATGATTTAAATAAATAATAAAAAATTTATTTTATTAAATAATGATTTAAATAATATATATATACACACACAAACACACACACACACATTCAGTGTAAATCATACTTTGGTCTTATCTAGAACTTTTTTCCAAAAACACATATTGTATTTTAAAACAGATTTAAAGGTTATAAATACTCTTTGCTGTACTATAAAATTTAATATGAATTTTACTGGAGTCCCTTTAATAAAATAAATTTCATTTTTAAAGTATAAATATTGAAAATGGATCAACTCTCAGTATACCAATTATTTTATGCTGTCTATGATCAGAAATGTATGAATTTTTAAAAACTGATGTATTAAAGAGTTAATGATAATATTTCTTAGAAAGTCAGCTCCTCTAGTGCATTTAAAATATAATTCAGTTAGTCTAGCTAATGGCCTGTCTATCTCATTAGGTTTTTCAAAAAAACAACTCCTGGATCCAGTGACCTTTTGAATGGTATTTCGTATCTTGATTTCCTTCAGTTCAGCTCCGATTTTGGTTATTTCTTGTCTTCTGCTAGCTTTGGGGTTGATTTGTTTTTCTCTAATTCTTTAGTTGTGATGTTAAGTTGTTAATTTGAGATCTTTCTGACTTTTCGATGGAGGCATTTAGTGCTATGAATGTCCCTCTTAACACAGCCTTAGCTGTGTCCCAGAGATTCTGATGTGTTGTAACTTTCTTCTCGTGAGTTTACCTGTGTAACAAACAATTCACATGTACCCCTGAACCTAAAAGTTTAAAAATTGAAAAAAATATATAATTCAACCTATAACTACCTAGTTTATAGCATTTTTTGTAATGTAATTTATAAATACTATACTTATAAACCTTTTACAGAGTCTGTCTCCTCTAGAAAGTGAGTTTTACTGTTTGAAATCAGGAATAGGTGAGGACTTGCCACAGCGGTAACTAAAGAAGCAGTGAAGTGTTGCCCCATTTATGTTTAGAAACTATCAGAAGTGCTTTTGTTTTAAAATTATGTGCAAAGACTTTAAATCACACCTATGTTTCAAATACCAGAAATTGAAAAAAGGGCTTAGTTCTAAGTAAGAAGTGTAGTCAAAAAGGCAATAGTCCATTCTGTGTTCAGTTGTCTTTGAGGTAATACAACTTAGTAACAGTTTGTTAGCTATAGGATACATAAAAAGCACAGTCCCTGTTATGTAATGTTTCGCAGTTATAAAAATTTTGATTAGCAAATCTTGCTTTGGTTTAAAAAGGAGTTTGTTTCATGCTTCATAAACCATGTTGAGCAGAAAATCTTTATGTCTTCATGTTAAATGGCAGTAAAATATTAGGAAGAAATCTGTCGCTTTTGTTAGCAGTTGTAGCAGGGTAACATTTACTCTTGGGACTATCTGCTTAATTTATTAATTACATAAACAGGTATCCCTATTGTACTACTAATGACTAAATTCATCTTTTAAAGAATAGGGTAAGGCTTATTGAGCGAATATTGAAACAAAGTCATTGTTGGTCCAAATGATTTGCTTCATAGTTACTTAGTAATTAAAGCTGTTTCCTTTTTGGGAGGGAGCTGTATTTCTAATAAAAGATTAGCTTGTTTCTGCACAGTGAAATTTGAATATGAGTATTTACTTTTTGTAGCTGTGAAATGAGACTTTTTAACTAAGCATGATTAATTATGATAGGTGAATAAACTATGATAATTAAACCTTTAAATCAGATACATGATGTATAATTCCAGAGGTCTGACAAAAATATCAAGTAGAAAAAAAAATTGGCAAAGTTCTTGACTTGTCATTTATAAGCTAGAATTAAAAATCATTACACAGATGACAGACGTTAGATATCTCCAAAGATGATTTAGAGGAAGATAATAAGGACCTGATCATTTAGGTATTTTATCTTTAAAATAGTCACTTAAAATTTAAAATTTTTGACCTTGGGGAAGGGGCAGCTGTGGACGCAACTTCATCAAACTTAAATGTTCCTCCTGCCGGCTCTGAAGAGAGCAGTGGATTTCCAAGCACAGCACTCAAGCTCTGCTGAGGGACAGACTGCCTCCTTAAGTGGGTCCCTGAACCCCGTGCCTCCTGACTGGGAGACACCTACCAACAGGGGTCGACAGACACCTCATACAGGAGAGCTTCCCTGGCATCTGGCAGTGCTCCTCTTGGACAAAGCCTCCAGAGTAAGGAACAAGCAGCAATCTTTGCTGTTCTGCAGCATCTGTTGGTGATACCCAGGCAAACAGGGTCTGGAGTGGACCTCCAGCCAACTCCAGCAGACCGGCAGCAGAGGGGCCTGACTGTTAGAAGGAAAACTAACGAACAGGAATAGCATCAGCGAAAAGGACTTCCACTCAGAGGCCCCATCCAAAGGTCACCAACATCAAAGACCAAAGGTAGATAAATCCATGAAGATGAGGAAAACCCAGTGCAAAAAGGCTGAAAATTCCAAAAATCAGAATGCCTCTTCTCCTCCAAAGGATCACAACTTCTCGCCAGCAAGGGAACAAAACTGGACAGAGAATGAGTTTGATGAATTGACAGAAGTAGGCTTCAGCAGGTGGGTAGTAACAAACTCCTCTGAGCTAAAGGAGCATGTTCTAACCAGATGCAAGGAAGCTAAGAACCCTGAAAAAAGGTTAGAGGAATTGCCAACTAGAATAACCAGTTTAGAGAAGAACATAAATGACCTGATGGAGCTGAAAAACACAGCATGAGAACTTCATGACACATACACAAGTATCAATAGCTGAATCGATGAATCAGAAGAAAGGATATCAGAGATTGAAGATCAACTTAATGAAATAAAGCATGAAGCCAAGATTAGAGAAAAAAGAATAAAAGGGAACACACAAAGCCTCCAAGAAATATGGGACTATGTGAAAAGACCAAACCTGCATTTGATTGGTGTACTTGAAAGTGACAGGGAGAATGGACCAAGTTGGAAAACACTCTTCGGGGTATTATCCAGGAGAACTTCCCCAACCTATCAAGACAGGCCAACATTCCAATTCAGGAAATACAGTGATCACCACAAAGATTCTCCTCAACAAGAGCAACCCCAAGACATATGATCATCAGATTTACCAAGGCTGAAATGAAGGAAAATATGTTAAGGGCAGCCAGAGAGGTCAGGTTACCCACAAAGGGAAGCCCATCAGACTAATAGCAGATCTCTCTGCAGACACCCTACAAGCCAGAAGAGAGTGGGGGCCTATTCAATATTCTTAAAAGAATTTTCAACCCAGAATTTCATATCCAGCCAAACTAAGCTTCATAAGCGAGGGAGAAGTAAAATCCTTTACAGACAAGCAAATGCTGAGAGATTTTGTCACCACCAGGCCTGCCTTGCAAGATCTCCTGAAGAAAGCACTAAATATGGAAAGGAACAACTGATACCAGCCACTGCAAAAGCATACCAAATTGTAAAGACCATTGACACTATGAAGAAACCGCATCAACTAACGGGCGAAACAACCAGCTAGCATCGTAATGACAGGATCAGGTTCATGTTTAACAATATTAATCTTAAATGTAAATGGGCTAAATGCCCCAATTAAAAGACACAGACTGGCAAATTGGATAAAGAGTTAAGACCTGTCAGTGTGTTGTATTCAGGAGACCCATCTCACATGCAGAGACACACATGAGTTCGAAATAAAGGGATGGAGGATGATTTACCAACCAAATGGAAAGCAAAAAAAAGCAGGGGTTGCAGTTTTCATCACTGATAAAACAGACTTTAAAGCAACAGAGATCAAAAAAGACAAGGGCATTATATGGTGATAAAGGGATCAATGCAGCAAGAAGAGCTAACTATCCTAAATATATATGCACCCAATACAGGAGCACCCGGATTCATAAAGCAAGTACTTAGAGACCTACAAAGAGACTTAGACTTCCACACAATAACAGTGGGAGACTTTAATACCCCACTGTCAATATTAGATCGACGAGACAGAAAATTAACAAGGATATTCAGGACTTGAACTCAGCTCTGGACCAAGCAGACCTAATAGACATCTACAGAACTCTCTACCCCAAATCAATAGAATATACATTCTTCTCAGCACCACATCACACTTATTCCAAAATTGACCACATAATTGGAAGTAAAACACTCCTCAGCAAAGGCAAAAGAGTGGAAATCATAACAAACAGCCCCTCAGACTACAGTGCAATCAAATTAGAACTCAGGATTGAGAAACTCACTCCAAACTGCACAACTACATGGAAACTGAGCAACCTGCTTCTGAATGACTACTGGGTAAATAATGAAATTAAGGCAGAAATAAATAAGTTATTTGAAACCAAAGAGAACAAAGACACAGTGTACCAGGATCCTTGGGACACAGCTAAAGCTGTGTTTAGAGGGAAATTTATGCCATGAAATGGCCACAGCAGAAAGGGGAAAGGATCTAAAATCGACACCCTAACATCACAATTAAAAGAACTAAAGAAGCAACAGCAAACAAATTCAAAAACTAGCAGAAGACAAGAAATAACTTAAGATCAGAGCAGAACTGAAGGCAATATAAACATGAAAAACCCTTCAAAAAAATCAGTGAATCCAGGAGTTGGTTTTTTGGAGAAGATCAACAAAATAGTTAGACTGCTAGCCTGAATAATAAAGGAGAGAGAAGAATCAAATAGACACAATAAGAAGTGATAAAAGGGAGATCAGCACTGATCCCACAGAAATACAAACTACCATCAGAGAATGCTATAAACACCTCTATGCAAATAAACTAGAAAATCTAGAAGAAATGGATAAATTCCTGGACACATACACCCTCCCAAGACTAAACCAGGAAGGAGTTGAATCCCTGAATAGACCAATAACAAGTTCTGAAATTGAGGCAATAATTAATAGCCTACCTACCAAAAAAAGGACCAGAGGGATTCACAGGACCAGAGGGATTAATAGCCGAATTCTACCAGAGGTACAAAGAGGAGCTGATACCATTCCTTCTGAAACTATTCCAAACAGTAGAAAAGAGGGAATCCTCCCTAACTCATTTTTTGAGGCCAGCATCATTCTGATACCAAAACCTGGCATAGGCACAACAACAAAAAAGAAATTTTCAGGCCAGTATCACTGATGAACATCAATGCAAAATCCTCAGTAAAAGACTGGCAAACTAAATCCAGCAGCACATCAAAAAGCTTATCCACCATGATCAAGTTGGCTTCATCCCTGGGACGCAAGGCCTGTTCAACATACACAAATCAATAAATGTGATCCATCATATAAGCAGAACGAATGACAAAAACCACATGATTATCTCAACAGATGCAGAAAAGGCCTTCGATAAAATTCGACATCCCTTCATGCTAAAAATTCTCTATAAACTAGGTATTTGATGGAACATATCTCAAAATAATAAGAGCCGTTTATGACAAACCCACAGCCAATGTCATACTGAATGGGCAAAAGCTGGAAGCATTCCCCTTGAAAATGAGCACAAATTATTTATAAACTCTTTAAAAGGATGCTATAACATTTTAAAAAATATTATAAGCATATTCTAAGTTACAACTGTGTACTAAGAGGGCACTACACATCTTTTTTTTTTTTACAGACTTTAAAAGGAAAAATATTGAAACTAAGAATTTTTGTTTTTGTTTTGAAAAATTACAGGATCTCACTCTACAACTTAGGCTGAGTGCAGTGGTGCAATCATAGCTTACTGCAAGCTCCAACTCCTGGGCTCAAGTGATCCTCCCTCCTCAGCTTCCCCAGTAGCTGGGACTACAGGTGTCCATTGCCATGCCTGGCTAATTTTTTTTTTTTTTTTTTTAAAGTAGAGACCTAGGTCTTGCTATGTTATGCAGGCTGAAGAATATTGTCTTTTAACACTGGCAAAATACCCATAACATAAAATTTACCATCTTATTCATTTTTAAGTATATAAACTAAAAATATTACAACTTTATAAGGTAAGGATTCAATTCATATGAGTCAGTAGACAGTTATATATTTATCTTTATATACCATTAAGAATAAAGCCACCATGAAATTGTTTTCATTTGTTTTTCAGGTCATTACTTCTTTTTATGTGGAACGTGGAGGAAATGCTATGTCATTCATGGGAAAAGGTGTTACAAAGAGCACAATTCTTTGCTTGCTTCACTTATCCCATGAGATGATGGCCCAGGCTGGGAGCTCGGTGAGCACATTAAAGCTGTCTGTCTTCTGAACAGTTGCTTGAAAGGGAATGTGCTGTGTCCAACACATTTCAAGCATATAAACTTGCTACATGAAAATGTCTCTTTTGACTTTTCTTTTTAGGAAACAAGAATGATTTTTGACTAGAATATTTCTTAGAAGTTGTATATTAGCAAATCTGAATTTTATTTGACATTGATTAAAATCTACATTCACTGGAAAACTACAGTTTGTCTAAATCATGGGAAAAATAGCTTCAAAAAATTGTTATGTTTAACTTTTTAAGGAGAAACTGAGATTTTTTTTGTTTGCCTTGTTTTGGCTGAATAATGGATTAAAACCAAGTCTGAAATACATTTTTATGTTGTTTTCATTAAAAATTCATAATTGTTTTAACCTTCCTGCATTTAATTTTTAGAAACTTACCTAGAGTATTTCTGTTTCCCTTTTTTCCCTCTAGGAGTGGATGTCACTTTGGTTCTTGCCTTTGGGTAGTCATAGTGAAGAACACATTCCTACTCAACAAGGATTGGCTTGGTTGATTCCATTATGGGTTGATCGGGACCCAGAGGTGAGTGTGAAGGAGAATCAAGTGTATTGTGTTCAGATTCAAACACAAATGACACGGGGCTGGGCGCAGTGGCTCACACCTGTAATCCTAGCACTTTGGGAGGCCGAGGCGGGCAGATCATGAGGTCAGGAGATCGAGACCATCCTGGCTAACACGGTGAAACCCCGTCTCTACTAAAAATACAAAAAAATTAGCTGGGCATGGCGGCGGGCACCTGTAGTCCCAGCTACTCGGGAGGCTGCAGGAGGAGAACGGAGTAAACTCGGGAGGCGGAGCTTGCAGTGAGCCGAGATCACGCCACTGCACTCCAGTCTGGATTACAGAGCGAGACTCCATCTCAAAAAAAAAAAAAACAAACCATGACATAAAACATATATACATATACATGTTTATATTATGGTATTATTGTAGTGACTCTACCTTATGTTTTATTTAAGCCCTGTTTTAGCTTAGGCTGCCATAACAAAATACTACAGATTGGGTGGCTTAGACAACAGAAACTTCTTTTCTCATAGAAGTTTTGGAAGCTGAAAGTCCAAGGTCAGGGTGCCGGCATAGTCAAGTTCTGGTGAGGGCTCTCCTTCTGGCTTGTAGATGGCTACCTTCTTGCTGTGTATTCGCGTGGCCTTTCCTTTCTCCATGCGTGTGGAGCATGGGAGGGAGGGGTGGTGGAGAGACAGATCTGTCTTTTTTTTATTATAAGGTTACCTGTCTTACTGAGATAGGACCACTCCCTTATGACCTCACTAAACCTTAATTATCTCCTAGAAGCCCTATCTTCAAATGTAGTCACTTGAGCATAAAGGCTTCAACATATGAGTTTTGGAGGGATGCAGTTCAGTTCATAGTTTTCTACCCCTGGACCCCTGAACTTCATGTTCTTCTTCCATGCAAAATGCTTTTATTCTCCCTCAACAACCTCAAAAGTCTTAACTTATTCCAAAATCAACTGTAAAATCTAAAGTCCAAAATCTCATCTAAATATCATCTAAACCACATCTGGGTAAGTCTCCAGATATAAACCTTCCTGAGACAGAATTCTTCTGCAAGTGTGAACTGTGAACCCATACAAGTTATGTGCTTCCAAAAGATAATGGTAGGATAGACTTTCCCATTGCAGAGAGAAATAGGAAAAAAGGAAGAAGTAATGGGTCCCAAGCAAGTCCAAAGCCTAACAAAGCAAATTCCATTAGATGTTAATCCTCAGGGATAGTGTTCTTTGGCTGGATGCTGTGCCTTACAGGCCCACTAGAGTGACAGCATCTAGATGGCTCTATGAGATGACTCCATCCCTTTGGCTCTCTTGAAGAGCGCCACCCATAAAGCTGTCTTCAAGGGCAGCCATGACCCGGAAGCACTGGGCAGGGTCATCATCCTGGCCCACCGAAATCAGAGAGATCTTTGAAACTAAGGAGGAAAAGCCACCCCCTAGTCCTGTAGTGGGATTGGCAGCCTGGTGTTCTCTGAATCATTTTTCAGGTCATTCTTACTTTTCATTGAAGAATACAGTAGTCCTCCCTTATCAGAGGCTTCATTTTTCAAAAGCAGCCTGAAGATCAGAGTAGCCAAGCACTCCCTCACAATGCCTGCATTATTCACCTCACTTCATCTCTTTATGTAAGCATTTTATCATCTCACATCGTTATAAGAAGGCTGAGTGCAATACAGTAAGATATTTTGAGAGACCACATTCATATATTTTTTATTATAGCATATTGTTGTAATTGTTCTAATTTATTTTTAGTTATTGTTGCTAATCTCTTACTGTGCCTAATTTGTAAACTTTACCATAGATATGTACGTGTAGGAGAAAAGATAGTAGTTATAGGATTCAGTACTATCTGTGGTTTCAGGCATCCCCTGGGGGTCTTGGAATGTATTCCCCATGGATAAGGGAGGGACCACTGTAGCACATGTTTGCTTACAGAATCCAGGAAGTCCAACAGCTTTCCTTCATTCTATGCATCTTTCTCTGTCCTCTTTAGTTCAAATTGGCAATGTCTTTGCTGATATAATCCCATCTCTATTCCTGGCTTCTGCTGAGATGTCTGATTAAGTCCATGAATTGCACCCGTGATCTCTTTCTTAAATGGTTATTCAGCCACATCCTCCATGTTCTCTTTAAAACAAGCTCTCATTTTTTTGCACGGATCGGCTGAGAATTTTTCAAATCTTGTTCTTGTTTCTTTTTGCTTACCCATTCTTAATTCCTTCTTTAATTCATCTCTCTCTTTTTGCATTTTGCTATAAGCAATCAGGAGGAACCAAGACACTTTTTCAACACTTTGCTTAGAAATCTCAGTTAAATATCCAATTTCATTGCTCACAAGTTCTGCCTTCCGCAAAACACTGGAACATGACCACAGCTCAACCAGTTTTCTTGCTACTTTATAACAAGGATTGCCTTTCCTCAAATAACCTTTTTAAAATAACACTGTCCTCATTTTTGTCTGAGATCTCATGAGAATTACCCATGTCTACATTTCTGGCATCCACCTCAAAACTCTTCTAGTCTCTAACCCATTACCCAGTGCCAAAGTCACTTTCATGTGTTCAGGCATTTGTTTCAGCAGCATCCCCACTCCTTGGTACAAAAATCTGTATTAGTGTGCTCAGGCTTCCATTACAAAATACCATTGTCTGGGTGGCCTAAAAACGGAAATATATTTCTTACGCTTCTGGAGGCTACAAGTCCAAGATCAGAGTGTCAGCGTGGTTGGTTTCTGGTGAGGGCACTTTTCCTGGTTTACAAAGGACTACCTTCTCACTGTGTGCTCACATGACCTCTCTTTGGAGCATGCACATGGAGAGAGATTGCTCTCCTTCCTGAGGCCACCATTCCTAGTGCAATAGGGTCCCACCCTTATAATCTCATTAAACTATAATCACCTAATAGCTCTTTCTCCAAATACAGTTTGGGGATTAGGGCTTCAACATACGAGTTTTGAGGAGACACAGTTCAGTTCACAGCACCCTCATTTTCAATCAAATTTGTTCGAGTATAGATTGAAAATATAAAAGAGAAAAGATTATAGTATCTATTACCTTCAGAAGAGTGGAAAATTATTGGAGAGGCTTAGCCATTTTGAAACAGTTGAAAAGGATCTGGAAATTATAGACATGCAAATTTAAGTGTCATGTAATGAAAATAAATTAAATGCAAAAAATTGTATTTGCATTACAACACAAAAATTTGTATTATTTCTTTCCAGTTTTAGCCAGTTTACTTTTTTGAAGCAAAGTGTGCTATTATAATAAAACCTTATTTATAGAAATATTTGAAATATATTTTTTAGTCACATTGAACTTGAACTTACTACTTGACTATTTTATGACTGCATTTTTTTTAAAACTCCATAGCTGTCATTGAAACTATATTTTTGGGTTAGAATTCAGAAATTTACGAAAATGTGTGGCTTGAACAGCAGTGGTTCTACAGCAAGCATATTATACCACATCAGTCTTACTTGGAAACATTTTTCTCTTGAAATAACTTTTGAGGAAAATATGAAATGCCTTGTAAAATGGTATTTTCCTCTTTGTTTAGAAGTTTTAAGAAAGTTAAAATCATTTATTTGGAAGAAACACTAAAAAATTAAGAAAGGTAGAACAAAGAATAGCTACCTTTTTTAGAATGAGGAATACATTGAAATTGTGTTCATAAAAGGTAAGTGCCCTGTGCTTTCCCTAGAAAAAGGCTTGCAGACTGTAATTTTTATGCGTCTTTTTATACTCAGTTTTACTGTGCTTTGAAATTTGCTTATATTTAATTTTTCCTATATTATTTCTTGAATCGTGGAATGGAGGACACTGTCTTCTATAGATGTCTTTTATAATTTAGGATCATAAAACCAATGGCATATTTTTTTAAAGTATGATATTTATGTACCAGAAAAACTAAGAATTCATGTTAGGAAAAGGGCTTATTTTATTCAACTGCTTTCTCTTTAATTTGAACAGGTGAGATTCACTTCGCTGGGGTTAGGATCAGCACTGACCACCCTTGAAACTGGCTGTGTGGCCTTAGCAAACAGTTGTCAGAATATTTCCGGTGGGCTCTGGGGAACTGTGGTGAACATTCTTCTGGACCAGTCAGAATGTAGTATGGTGCGCCGGGAGGTATGTCTGTCTTTTCTCGTTTTTTCCTTAGAAATTCTTTGGGATAGCATCCATAAGCGATACTTGACTCCTGTTCAACGTGGTGGACTGACCGCTGACTGTGACTTCTTCTGCCTGTGAAAACCCAAACAAAATGACAGCAGAGGGTTTAAAAGGTATTCATGCAGAGGAAAACCTGGAGTCCTTCCTTCCGATGAGATACAATCCGAATATACTACATTTTAATGTGAACTTTTTTGTTATGCATTGAAAAGTAGTTCACAGGAAAAATTACTTTTATATTATCTCAGCATTTATGGGTCTCTAATATTTATGAAGCTTTAGTATAGATAAGAGGCTGTCAAAATAACTCTCTTTGTAGTATTTATCATATAACATGAGAGGGAAAAATAAACCCTGTTTTAATTCTTTCTAAATAGCTTGTGGTTTGTTTTATTGCTGCTTTTATTAAAGTAATGATTCATGTACATGGTTTTAAAACAATAATCAAATTGTACTTAGAGGCTTGTGAAAAAAACAGTAGCTCCTGGGTCCACCATTAGCCAGTCCCCAGTTCCAGGTTCAAAAGGCTAGTTTTTTTGCTATTTGCCTTCATGTTTTTAAGTAGTAATGCTTATATTTATGGCTGCTTTTTAATGTATCAACTTTAAAGCTTTTCTCTCACTTCCCAGTTACCATGGTTGGAAATGTCAGTTTCTTAGAATCCTCCTATTATTCCTGTCATTCTCCCATTATGCTTATGTCATCTTTCATTAAGTAGACAACCAGTGCTGCTATTCGTATGATTATTTAATTTGATCATCTTCAGGACCTAGTCAGTCAATTTGGACATTTGTGGTTTGTATTTCTAGTTAGCAGGTTTTTATTGAAAGGTGTCTGTATGAGAGAAGGGAGAAAGTGGGGGAGAGGGGTGTGTGTGTATGTAATCTGAAAGGGGATAATAGAAACCTAAAATTATGTTTCTTAAATGCTACCAGAATTTATGTTATACAAATCATTTTTTAATAAAGCTGAATTCTGAAATAGGAAAAAATATATTTGCTGATGAAATAATTTCGTATACTGTTAGGTCATTACCTAACAAGGTCATCACCTAACAAGAAATACAGTTTGACAATTCTCATAATGGCCTCTCAGCATGTGCAATTGACCGGAGATATGTCTTTTGCTATTACATTACAATATATTGGTTATTTCAGAGATGACAACAAGATGGCAGTATTGACCTTTTTTTTTTTACATTCTCAGGCTGCGTTTATTCTTCAGAATCTCCTTGTAATTCCAATGCCTACAGAAATTATAAAGGATTATACGTGGCAGGTGGGTAATTTTAAACAATTATCAACCTAGTAGGTATTTAAAATTAATTGGTGATAAATTTTCAGCATAAGTAGTATATTTAATTACTGATGAAAGTATATACAAGACAACAAGGGCCTCTTAAAATAGAATGTAGAATTTTTCTTATGCTGACCATACTTAAAAATTCTTCTCTATAGTGTTCAGAATAATTTAAAACAAATAATAATAGTTAACATATGTTTACTATGTTTTAGGCACTCTTCTAGAAATGTAAGACATAGTAAGTTGTAGAATTGTTTGACTTGTGAGCTGTTACCATCTTCATTTTCTAAACTTAGGAACTTGGGCACAGAGAGTTTAAATAGTCTGTCCTAAATCACACAGCTAGTCAGTGGTACTCCTTTGCTTTGAGTCTAGGCAGTCTCTTACCCACTTCGCTGTATTACTTCTCTAATTTAGTAATAATAAGCAAATTTGTAGATAGTTAAATATGTGTTGATGTTAGCATCTTTTTTTCCTTTTCTAGTTTAGTGCACAGTGCGGGTTATGGTTTATCTTGATTTGGTTTCTGTTGGGTTAACTTTCTGTTTCATGTTCTGAACATCACATCAGTAAATAGTTACCTAACATTTTATAGCTTACATTAAAAAAAAATTCTGGCTTCATGGGATACATGTACATGTTTGTTACATAAGTATATTGCATAACGGGGATTGGGCTTCTGTACTCCTTACCCACATATTGAACACTGTACCCAGTGGTAATTTTTAACCTCAGCCGCCTCCCCTACTCCCTCCTTGGGAGTCTCAATGTCTGTTATTTCTATCTTTATGTCTATGTGTACTCATTGGTTAGCTCCCACTTACACGTGAGAATGTGCAATATTTGCTTTTCCATTTTTGAGTTAGTTCACTTAGGATAATGGCCTCCAACTCCATGCATGTTGCTGCATTTTTAGATAATTTGGAAGGTACAAAAGTACACTCATTGGGGAGATGAGATGTGCTGTTTCTCTGTTCTTTTACCCATCCATGTATTTTCACCTTATACATGTATATTATCGTACTGCTGTACCTCACTCTTCAGAATCCTGTATAAATCTAAGGGTTTTTTAAAGTTTTAATTAGACTATACTCTTAGAGGAGTTAGTGAAACAAGCTGAGCTGTAGCAAGGGCAGGTTTCCGCGCATGACCCGAAGCATGAATCCAGGTGGTTGTCAAGGCCCAGGTAGCATTTAACTCTTGGAAGGCTTACCTCTCCAAACTTTACAAACCCAGGGTAACCCTACCAGTCATTGTAAACCCCAGGCTTGTAATTTGCTTGTAATTTCTTTAACATTGCCTTCTGATAATGGCTGCTTGTCTGCTTTCCATGTTGTAATAAAACCAGGAGACAAAACTGGAGGGAATGTGCAGGATTAATAGTTATATTAATAGTATAGTAGTTTTGGTACCTGTTATCCGGAGACTACATTTTAAAACATGTTTTTGGCTCAAATACAAATCATCTCTGCTCCCATCGTTAAACTAGTGACCCATGTACATGGATATAGTTGGTGATGTACTACCAATGAATTTTTAATTGTTGAAATAAGTATAAAGACAGAGTATCTTAAAGTTATATTAAAGTTCCTGGGACATTATGTTATAATACAGAACTGTATGTAGCTGTTCATATTTTTCTCTTACAAATTAAATAGTGAAGTTCCTGTTTGTTGCTGGTGGCATGCTTACTGCAGTTTGTTGGTTTTGTTATTCTCCAGTCTTTATCATGGAAATCATTTTCTACTAAAAAGTGGAAAATAGTTATTTAAGTTAGCTTTTGGAGTTTTGGCCTTGCCAAGTTGGCCAAAATAAAAATGTTGGAGAGCCACTGCAGTCACAAACAATACTTGATTACAACTTTTGCTAGTCTTAAGAAAAATTAGAGAAATAAGGACAATCTTGTATGCTTTTTAATAAACTCAGATTTTTCTTCCTCTCTTTTCAATTTTTTTTTTTTTTTGGTTATTTTTGTTTGTTTACGTGTCCTTTCTTGGCAGTGAAAATAGTTGACTTAGTGTATCTGTCATCCAATTTTAAGAAAGTTTAGTGGGGTCTGAAATTCCAAAGTAGAAACAGCTGCTGCAAGAAGGGAGCAAGACGGTTGTCTCTGGGTGCAGCTAGTGGGGCACATAGTTTTTTGCAACCATGAAAAAGGGGCCACGTAGCCAGTATTTTAAAATTCACAGTCTTTGGTGGAATTATGAATAATAATCTTATTCAACAAAATGTTTCATTTACTTATTTTGGTGTACCTTTCATAGTATTTTGGAGGATATAGCATGAAGCAGCACGTTTAGGAGCCTTGTTAAAATTTTATTTTGGTTGAGGTAAGTATTTGATTTTTTTTTTTTTTAAACAAAGAGAATTGCTTCTATTGCTTTGCACTTTGTTTTCTTGCCTGCTAGTGCTCTTGTTTCATAGGCTTTCTGAAGCATTCTCTTTATAATTACTACTCCTTTTCCTCTCCTTCCCCTGCACACTAGCATAAATTCCTGCTTCATGTCATGATCTAGAATTGTTGTACTTGTTAGTAGTAGTAATATGCGTATATAAATTATGAATGATTTTATAGCCGAGTTTCCCTTTTATTGTTAGATGCCAGAAAGTAGAGCCTTTTTTTATCAATTGTGACTTTTTCTGTATGTACTTAGAAAAAAAAAAAAAAAGATGGGATCTCACTGTGTTGTCCAGGCTGGCCTTGAATTCCTGGGCTCAAGCAATATGCTTGCCTCAGCCTCCTGAGTAGCTGGGACCCCAGGTGTGTGCTGCCACACCCAGCTTACCTTCTAAGCTTTATTCATGGTTGCACTTTTTTCATATCTCTGGCTTTTTTTCTTTCTTTTATCCCTAGTATGCATTTACTATCATGTTACAATTGACCTTTCCTTGTAATGGTCCTTAAATCTTTTCTTGGATGAGATGGGAAGTAAATAATTTAAAACAAATTTAATTTTTTAAAGTATTAAATAATTTTACTAACCACTGCAGTTCCCATTTTAATCCTCCTTTTAAAGGCACTAACATTTAATGTCTTACCACTAAATTATTTTCCATATTTGCATTATTTCTTACCATTTAACTTAATCTTTCTAGGTAGAATGTTTGTTTCTGACAGGGCTACATTTTTTATATTTTTAAAAATGTTTCTCCCAACCCCTACCACAGAGAAAGTGAGTGCTCTGTCTTGACTGATTCATTAAAATGTGCGAAACATTTGAGTTACCCTTTTGTTCTTAATATCGTAAGTAAATACAGTTAGAAATAAACCTTAATTTTTGTAGCATAATTCCCCTTTTATTTTTCCGTGGATGCAGAAGCATACTGCAAGTGGGGTGGTCACCAAGAGGGGGAGCAGATGAAGTATCTCGGCCTGGCTTCCTTTGGCATCCAGCACTTCTACCAGGGGCCTTGATACCAGCCCCCTGCTGGATATGAGAACCCAGTTCCTGCTGTATTGGTGTATCATAGCTCTTTTATATTCAGGACACTAACTTTTCAGAGGGATATTTATAAACATTGGTCTTGTTCTTGAGTCAAACTCAGCCTCATTCAAAGCTACATCCCAGCTGGACATGGTGGCTCATGTCTGTAATCCCAACACTTGGGAGGCTGAGGTGAGAGGATCACTTGAGCCCAGGAGTTTGAGACTAGCCTGGGCAACATAGTGAGACCCCATCTCTAAAAAAAAAAAAAAAAAAAAAAATTTTTTTTTTTTTTAATTAGCCTGAAGTGGTGGCACACACCTCTAGTCCCTAGCTACTCAGGAGACTGAGGCTGGAGGATTGCTCGAGCCCAGGAGTTTGAGGCCACAGTAAGCTATGATTGTGTCACTGTGCTGCAGCCTAGGTGACAGAACAAAACCCTGTCTCTAAAAACAAAAACCCTACATACTACATTCTCTGTCAAGGAGAGAAAACAGAGCCAGTATTCAATTGACACGAAACTGTATTGTGGCTCCCAACTGTCCAGTGGTTTTCAGACCAGTTTCCCACAGGCTGACTAGGAGTTAGGACTCCTGAATGTGGATGGTTTCATAACTGGGTTTACTTTGAAGAGTAGTGTCACAAATCCGTATCCCTGAAACTTTAACAACCAATTTTAGAGTTGATTATAACAAGAAATCTATTGATTAGAGATGGATCATTGATGTAATTTGTCTCAGTTCATTTCTGTAAACATTTGTTGAGTGTCTAAATATTGGAGATTCATAGATAATCCAATTTAGTACTCTTGGGCTTATGGCCTAATAGGGGATGACATGTACCCAGGAAACCTTGTTGTAATTATTTTATGCATGATGATGGTAGCTTATGCATAATTTTAGTAATATTTAAGTTCTTTCCACTTGAAAATGATCTCACATTTAAATGTAAAAGGTAATGTCATGCACTTAAATAACGTAACGGGTTGTCAGTTTGTGATTTTAAATAAACTTGTTCATGCCTTAGTTACTTTCCATGTTTGTGATAGGACTTTGAATTGGTACATAGACTTTTTAAACTTTATTTTGAAAAAAAAAAAACAGATTTATAGGAAATTTGTGAAACAATACAATTTTTATATACTCCACCCAGATTCCCCAAATGTTATTTTACACATTTACTTCACCTCTCTCTAGTGTCTTCTTTTTAAACTGTTCGATAGTTGTAGACATAATGCTTCTTTTCCTCTGAACACTTAAGTGTGGATTTCCTAAATATAAGGATATCCTCTTACATAATCACAATAATAATTATCAAAATTAGGAGATCACTCAAGGTTTTTCAGTTGTCGCACTGTGGTGTTTTATAGCCAAAAGAAAATAAAAGAAGAAGAAAAATCCAATCCTGGATCCAAGATCCAATTCAGGAATACACATTGCAAATACTTGTCTTACATATTTGCTTTTGTTCATTTGAAATAGTTTCAAAATGTTAAATATTTATGATCTTAACATATTTGAAGAATGCAGGCTACTTATTTTTTGTAATATC